GCAAACAAAAATGGCCACCGCGTTCAGCAGGTAGAGACTGTAACATCTGTTGTTTCTGTAGCAAAGAGTGTGCCAGACAGGTGGAGGAAGCAGGGTGTGACGCAGGTGTAGACACATAAAGGTAGAGCTGTAGCAAGAAGACTTTCAAAGGGGACTGTTACTTCTTCCACTTTTGCATCTGAAGGAAAACTTTTGAGGATTGTAGGGAGCCACACAAAGACTCAGCCACTGAGAAAATCCACACGTACTTTACCTAAAATCCTAAACTCATCTCAGCTATCTTTTTTCCTGATATACATGTACTGTTTATTAAGATAAATTTGAACCCCTGAGGGAAACATAAGACACCATATATTACCAGACATTTTTTGATTGCTGACAATTAAGTCAGCATTTTCCCCTACACCCTTTAATGAGGCTATTTCACACAGTTTTTTCTATCTGTCCATGTTATACTTTTTTAAAATTTATTTTATATCCTGGTCTCAGCCTCCCCATTCCTCCTCCTAGTCCTCCCACCGCCACCACCCGCTCCCAACCCTCAACCCCTTCTTCTTCTGTCCCCATCCAGGAAAGGGCAGGTCTCCCATGAATATCAACAAAACATGGCATATTAAGCTACAGTAAGACTAAGCACCTCCCCCCATATTAAGGCTGGGCAAGGTGACCCAGTATGAGAAGTAGGGTCACAAAAGCCAATAAAGAGTCGGAGACAGCCCCTGCTCCCACTGTTAGAAGTCTCACAAGAAGACCAAACTACACAACTGTCACATATATACAGAGTGCCTGGGTTAGTCCCATGCAGGTTCCCTGGTTGTCAGTTCAGTCTCTGAGAGCCCCTATGAGTCCAGGTTAGTTGGTTGTGTGAGCCTTCCCAGGATGTTCTTGACCCCTCTGGATCCTACATTCCTTTCTCCACCTCCTCTGCAGGATTCCCAAACTCTACCTAATGTTTGGCTTTGGGTCTCTGCATCTGCCTCCATCAGTTGCTGGATGGTGTCTCTCTGATGACAATTGGGTCAGACACCAATCTGGTCACAGGCTATTTATCCACTATTGCTAGGAACCTAAGCTGAGGTCCTCCCCATAGACTTCTGGTAGATTTCCATGTGCAAGGCTTCCACCTGACACCAAAATATGCCTCCTCCAGCAGCCCCCCTCAGCACTCTCCCACTCTGTGCCCCCGCAACCTGATCAATCATGTTTCCATCCCCACCTGCTCTCAGTCCACTCATAAAATCTCTTCTATTTCCCCTTCCCAGGGAGATCCAGGTGTCCCCCTATGGACTGTCCTTGTTACCTATTCTCTCTGGGTCTGTGGATTGTAGCATAGTTACCCTCTATTTATAGCTAATATCCACTTACAAATAAGTACATGCCATGTTTGTCTTTCTCAGTCTGGGTTACCTCACTCAGAATGATTTTCTAGTTCCATCCATTTGCCTTCAACTTTCCTGGTGTCCTTATTTTTAACAGCTGAGTAATATTCCATTGTGTATATGTACCACGTTTCCTTTACCCATTCCTCGGTTGAGGGGCATCTAGGTTGCTTCCAGGTTCTGGCTATTACAAATAAAGCTGCTATGAACATAGTTGAGCAATTGTCCTTGTGGTATGATTGAGCATCCTTTGGGTATATACCCAAGAGCAGTATAGGTGGGTCTTGTGGTAGGGTGATTCCCGGTTTTCTGAGAAACTGCCACACTCATTTCCAAAGTGGCTGTAGAAGTTTGCACTCCCACAAGCAATGGAGAAGTGTTCCCCTTGCTCCACATCCTCTCCAGCATGAGATGTTGCTTGTATTTTTAATCTTTGCCACTCTTGCAGGTGTAAAATGGAAACTCAGAGTCATTTTGATTTGCATTTCCCTGATGACTAATGATGTTGAACATCTTCTAAACTGTTTCTTGACCATTTGAGATTCTTCTGTTAAGAATTCTCTGTTTAGATCTGCACCTCATTTTTAATTGGATTGTTTGGTTTGTTCATATCTAGTCTCTGGAGTTCTTTATATATTTTGGAAATCATTTTCAACTACCTTTTAATATTTGGCCTTGATGTGGCTTGTTACTCTTTATTCTGGATAGGGACAGAAACTGCTCATCTGGCAGTAGATTGTGTAGCAGAGCTGAAGTTTTCGCTAGATACTTTATGTACATTTGATTGGGAGGTATTTGAAGTCTTCTGGTCAACTAAATAGGTAGATCAGTAAACAGGTAAAACAGGTTGAGTCAAAGATGGATTCATACCAAAACATCAAATCCTTAAGATCAGTTTTTTTTTACACTGAGTAAAGTATAAAGGGATTCATAATATGCCTGGAACTTAAGCATGTATACATATATATTTTTCATGTAGAACTATTGGCTATTCCTATGTATATGTATATGTATATGTATATGTATATGTATATGTATACGTTGTGAATTTACTGTGACATATGCTTCAAAGGATCATGTGTTTGAAAATTTGGTCTCCAGGTGGTGGTACTGTTATGGATGACTGTGGAGCCTTTATTACTTGGTGCCTCCCTGGAGGAAGTAAGTGGGTCACTAGAGGAAGCAGGTCACTGGAGGAAGATTTGGGGGCTTGATGACCTACCCACTTCCTGCCCACTCTCTTCTTATAGAAGGATCACACTTGCTGCCATGCCTCCATGCATGGACTATAAGCCAAAGCAAACAAACACACAAAACCCCTTTTCTCCCTAGAGTGGCTTCCTGTCAGATGTTTGCACACAACAAGAGGAAAAGTAGCTAACCCAGAAAATCGGTACCAGCACGTGGGGCCGGCCACACAGCTGTGATGAACAGCCTTAACTTTTTTTTTATTTGCTACATTATTATATTCAAAGCTTTATATAGTTTTTTTTTACGATTACACAGTAATTCAAAATATTTATAGCAACGAGATGGCAACCACTACTTTGTTAAAAAGGTCTTACATTTAAAAAGAAAAATCTGTAAGACTCAAAGCATTAGACCACAACGATTATTGTGACTTTTATGAAAAGCAATTTTATGTGGTGGGAAAGAAGCTAATGGGCTCTCATTTGAAAACAAAACATACTTGAATTTATCAATTCTGAAAAAATACCAGAACTCAAAATTTTCCACATGGGGAATGAACGATATGTTTTTAATATATATTTTAATTTTCCATAATTGAAGTTCTCCATATTTAGATAAATGAAATAAAAACCCCAAACAGCGAGATTCTTCTTTCTTTTAATAACAATTCCTATAATGTGAATAGAAATTTACTCCAAGCTTTCTTTTGGTAGAAATGCATTCTAAAATTAAAGTCATGATTGGAATAATGATATATCGGTAAGATGTAAGATAAGCTTTCTATGCAATTTCCAAATCATGTGACTAAAAAGCAGTTTTCATCATTTCCATGTCTGCATAAAATGTTCTGCTATCCTGAAGTACACTCCTTAGAACCCTGAAGAGGACCTGGATACGTGGAGCAAAGTCTGTCCCTACAACATTAAAGTTCATCATTTCTAACTTCCTCATGGAAATATTTATGAAGTGAATATGTCACTTTTCACACGTCAATATGTTAAAAGAAAGACAAGCATTTTTAGCAGGAGAGAAATTCATGTGACCTGTCATGAAAAAAAATCAAGACAGCAATCTGCTCTGATGTGGAAACAGCAAATAGAAGAGAGGAGAAAATAGTCAAAAGTCCAAATAATTCATAAAAACAGAAGCTATATTTGTAGTCTATACCAGTGCACCCTTGTTTGAAAATCTCTGCTCTTGGAGTAAAGATTTGGCAATCACAGTGATTATTTGTTAGTAAAACCATTTCAACACAATCAGAAATCATCAGGCTGGACTACCGCCTGAAAGAGCAATGCCTATGTAATGACAGAACTTCCGGGCTCATTACAACCACTTCTATAGTTTAAATCCTACTATCTTCTTATAAGTTAAGTGAATTTCATTTGTGTTCTAAAGTATGATGACCAAAAAAACAATAGCAATCTCCCCCAAAATTTAGAGTATTGTAAACATCTAAAACATTCAAAACAATGAAATCGTTTAACTTATTTGAAGGTGTGGGAGCAGTTCAAAAGCTTAATGGAATCTAGTTATGTGGTGTGTGATGCAGAGGAGAGGGGAATCTAGCATTATGCCTAATTACAGTATTTTCTAATTAAAAGTTCCCTGCAGGAACTCTATGTGTAAACACGGATAAGATAAACCCAGACTTGTTTTGTGGAACCCTTTGAAAGAGTTAATTTTCAGGTTGACATTTTCCTTCTAGTGCCTTCTGTGGAGCTGGATTTGTAGGTAGATGCTACTTAAATTTGGCTCAGTCATGAATGTCTTTCTCCGTCTATTGAGATTGACAGTTTTGCTGAGTATAGCAGTCTGGGGGGGCATCTATGGTCTCTTAGAGTTTGTAGAACATCCATGCAGCCCTTCTGGCCTTTTGATTCTCCATTGAAAAGTCAGGTGGTATTCTAATGGGCCTGCCTTTATATGTGTGTTACTTGGTCTTTTTCCCCTGCACCTTTCAATGTTCTTTCTTCTTTGGTACATTTAGTGTTTTGATTATTATGTATCATGGAGAATTTCTTTTCTGGTCACAATGTATCCACTCAGGAAGGAGCAAGTGATCAAGTGATACTCTGATATAAAGCCTCAATACTTTCTCCCAGTAGCCCACTTGTCCAGCAAGACTCAACCTCCTAAAGCTCCATAACTTTCCCAAACTGCACCACCAGCTGGGGGACCGAGTGTTTAAACATGTGAGCTTATAGGGGGCATTCAATTCAGATCATGGCAGAGGCTAATATGAATATCTCAGCCTTCTTTAATAGCAGATTACAGAGGATGTAAAAATCTACATATCCTCATATTCAGGGAATTTTCACTAGACGATGCCAATGAGAAGCAGGTGGAGCAATTGTAACCATTTTTGGTTACTCCTAGTTACTTCTGGATGACACTGCATAGGTAACGTCTGTGTCTGTCTTTCTTTAGGAGGTTGTGCGGTTCCTTGACTCCAAGCATCCAGACCACTATCAAGTCTACAATCTATGCAGTATGTACAAAACTCACATTTGTGTGACTGTAGGTAGAGAACAGATTGGTTCTGCTGACTCCTCTCCTACATTTCATTTATTCATAAGTATTTAAGAGTTAGAGTAAAATTCCCCATCTTGTGTTGGCCTCGTGTGGTAGGAAAAGTAGCTCACCCAGCACCAAGTACCCCAGGAGAGAGGCCTAGGTGGGCCTAGAAGGACCGGATGGGCAGCGCAGAGGTGAGCCATGTTAGGGGATGTCTGTTCTAGGGTGAGGGAATGTTTACTTCCTTCTAGGTTACATTGAGGGTGCAAACATTCACAAGTCTGCTCTCTAACCCACCTGGAGTAGGTTGTGGTGAGGAGAGCGCACTGGGTTAAAACAGAAACAAAATTGCAACCCTTTGGGAATATTATACCTCCTTAGTTTACCACTCTGTCTCTGGTGATTTGTTCAATGCCTGTATATGAAATGAAAGTTTTCAGGAGCCGACATCTCTGTCAACTACATTTGTCTCTGCTCTGCGGTTTCTAACACTCATGACTATGTACTGAGAGGTCACTAGAAAACGAAAGGTGAAGCTTGCTTTAAAAATGAGTTTAGTGGCTGCAGAGTGGTGGTGGGGCAGTGGCGCACACCTTTAATCCCAGCACTGGGAGGCAGAGGCAGGCGGATCTCTGTGAGTTCGAGGCCAGCCTGGTCTACAAAGTGAGTAACAAGACAGTCTCCAAAGCTTCACATAGAAGCCCTGTCTTGAAAAAAAATATTTTTTTAATGAGTTTAGTTTACCTGAGGAGGAAAATTGCCAAACTTTTTTTTTGCAACTCTGAAAAATTGTTTTTAGAGCTAACAGAAACTACTCTTGAAGACAGATAAGGAATTTTCTAACTGAAACTCTAAATCTACTTAGAACTTTATCATTTGCTGTGTTACAAGGTGTTAATAGATGTATGACATATGTATTATTTAATTTAGGTGAGAGCGCTTATGACCCTAAGAACTTCCACTACAGGGTCCGCAGAATCATGGTTGATGATCATAATGTCCCCACTCTCGAGTAAGTTTTACTCCACGCTGACTGTCAGAAGAGGGCCAAATACCAAGGCTCGGTGTTCTAGAAAAATTACTATTTTGGAAAAAAATTTTAATTGAATGAAAAATCTTATTTTTGAAATCAGGGAAATGTTGTTGTTCTCCAAGGAAGTAAATGATTGGATGGCTCAACATCCTGAAAACGTTGTGGCGATTCACTGTATGGGAGGAAAAGGTAACACCACCTTTTTAAAATTTCCCTCTTTGAAAAGAAACATGCATGAGAACTAACGCTATTAATCATTAACCCTTTAAACTAACTGGCTTCAGAACAGAAGGATGTAAGAAGACAGGAAAGGAAATGGCAGAGGTGCAGAGAGGACCATGGGGATGAAGGGAAGGAGAAAGAAAGAGTTAAGGAAGGGTGCGATTATTTTCCCCTGCTTACTAAATATTTGGATTATCTTACTCTTAACTTGCCAGTGTAAGTCTGTAAAAATACCAGTGATGTTTTATCTTTAGAAAAGAATAACACTATTTATTTTAAGGTTATATTTTCTTTTTAATTAACAGAGATTATTTATTTATATATATATATATATATTATGATATGCATTATATTTTGTCATTATATTTATTGTGGAATGGCTGAATGCAACTAATTAACACATATATCACCTTATACTTATTTTATTGTGGTTAATATGCTTTTCCTTGATGATTGGTGACGTTGAGCATTTTTATATACCTATTGGCCATGAGTATGTTTTCTTTTGGAAGTAACCATTAGAATTTTATTGGTTTTATCGTTGTTACTGTTATTTGTTCAGAAAGATGTTTTTTTATTTTGTTTTGGGTTTGTTTGTTTCTTTCCTTTCCTTGAGGAAAAGTTTGGATTAATAGCTCAACCAGTCCTTGAACTACCTATGTATTGCAGGCGGGCCTCCTGTCTCCTTCCAAATACTGAGACCACAGGAATGACTACTAAATCTGTCACTGGTTTATTTTAGAAAAGAAGTACTTTTCTTATTGAAAATGTGTGCACTGTATTCTGATAGTTGTTCCCCTCCCCCATCACACAGATCCTGCCCACCTCTCCACCCACCCAACTCTATGCCTCCTTTCTCTCTATCCTTAAAAATCAAACAGGCCAATTTTTAAAAGTCAGAATAAGAAAAAATGAAAAAGAATAAGAAATACACGCACACAAAGCCCACACAAAATTGGAAACCATAATATACAAAGACCAGTAAGATAAAAATGCCCAAACAAATCAACATGAGACAAAAAAAAAAATTTAACCGAAAACACCATTGAGTTTATTCTGTGATGTCCATCTACTGCTGGGCATGGGATCTACCCTTCAGTATGGTTTGTTTACCCACTGAGACACAAATGAGAGAAAACATGCTACATTTGTCATTCTGGATCTGGGACATCTCACTCAGAAAGATTGTTTCCAGCTCCATCCAGTTAGCGGTTAATTTCATAATTCTGTTTTTCTTAGTAGATGACTAATATTCCATTATTCAAATGTACCACATTTTCATTATCCATTCCTCAGTTGAAGGACATCTACGCTGGTTTCATTTCCTGGCTATTGTGAATAGAGCAACAATAAACATGGATGAGCAGACGTCTCTATGGTAGATATAGAGTCCTTTGGGTATATGTTTGAGTGGTTTAGGATCATGTGGATCATCTATTTCTAGAGTGAATTGTTCATGTGTTGGGTAGGTGTCAGGGAACTGAGTGGGATTTGAGGCCCTGCCATTTATCACTCTGCTGAAGACCCAAGTCACAGAAATCGGCAGAAGCAAACAGGCTTGTGCAAGCCTGCCTCGAAGAGGACAGATTTGAGTATCTACCTCAAGTCTTTATCTCATCTCTTAAGACGAGAAGAGACATTTATGGAAGAAAATAGTGTGGGGGTGCAGATGGATGACGGGAAAGAAATCCATGCCCTGGGCCTTCAGCATCAGACCTGTGGTGACTCCGAGCAGTCTGGACTGCATGAGACCATGGGTAAAATTGTTTTAATTAAGAGCTCTTACATGGAAGGAATAATAGGCATTGCAAGTGCTGGATGGTGCTGTGGGTGTTCTGTTTATGTTAGTTACAAAAGCCAGGTATGTAAGTAGTGCTTTAGTGCCGGCGCCCTGACAGGGCTACTGTCTTGATCTCCACTGCAATGTCAGCATTAGAGACTGAAGAAAAGTCCACAGCAACTCATGTGGCATACCCACAGTACGACACTGAGCTCCAGGTATAGCCACAGAGCAGTGATTTGGGCTACTTGGGGCAAGCACGTTTACTTGTACAAAATGCATTTTAGGTGTTTCTGCTCCTGGTGTCAGGAACTGACCTTGGGGTCTCTTCCTCAATTGTTTTTTACCTTGAAAAATGTATTGTGGGTTAATGTATATGGTGTATGTGTGTGTGGGGGGGGTAATGTGTGTGTATGTGTGTGTGCGTATGCATGTGAATGCCATGGTGTATGTGTGTGTGTGCACATGCGTGTATGCGTGTATGTGTGTGTGTGTGTATGCCATAGTGTATGTGTGTGAATACTATGGTGCATGTGTGTATGTATGAATGCCATGGTGTGTGTGTGTGTGTGTGTGTGTGTGTGTGTGTGTGTGTGTGTGTGTGTGCTGGGGTTAAGGTTGATACTGTCATAGCAGCTTTTGACATGGTTTCTAGGATCTGAGTTCAAGTCCTGATGCATTCTGCTCATCGAGATCTAAGCCATCTCCCCAGGTCCTCGGAGTGAGTTCTTACACTGAACACTACGATGAACAATGACTCTTTAAATGGCCTCTTTTCTCTCTAGGAAGAACGGGAACAATGGTTTGTGCCTGCCTCATTGCCAGTGAAGTAGTTTTAAATGCAAAGGTATGAGAAGCATCACTCTACTGTCTCACACTGATTGAATCTGTTTGCTCTGAAGCATCACTGTGTCGTATGATTCTTTCAGTCACGACTCATCCGAGTTAAACTGGAGAGGTGGTTTTCAGAAACCCTGGCTTTGGTATTCCCTTGTTTAATGTACAGTTGGTAATTAACCGATCTCTTGCTCTGGGCCAGGACTAGGCTAAGGTCAAAGAGACACAACATTTAAGGAGATGCAAAATACTCCAGTAATTAAGATTTGTCACATTTTAGTGCAATATTTTAAAAAATAAAAATTAGTACAAAAATCATGATATGTATGTTATCAACATTTTAATAGAGGGAGGGCACAGTAACTGCAGGATTAAGATAAAATAAGTTAAGCCAAGTCACGCAAATGTAAAAAGGCTCAGTCGGGCTTGTTGGTGCCACCAGTGATCCCAGCATGCCATACTGGAGCAGGAAGATCCTAAGTTCAAGGCTAGCCTGGGCTATAGGACATAGTCAAAATGTTCCCCCTTCCCTCACTGCCAATCACATGACTTCTTCCTTCTTCCCAAGAATAATATCAAGATTAATTAGATAAGTGCTTCCAAAGGACTTGAGCATCTTTCCGACTGGTGAGTCATTAAAAATGATCACTTTCTGGGCTGGAGAGATGGCTCAGAGGTTTAAGAGCACTGACTGTTCTCCCAGAGGTCCTGAGTTCAATTCCCAGCAACCACATGGTGGCTCACAACCATCTGTAATGAGATCTGGCGCCCCCTTCTGTATACATAATGAATAAATAAATCTTTTTAAAAAAAAAACGATCACTTTTCAACTCACATGATTGTCTCTGCTTAGTCAGAGTCTGTGTGGGGGAGATGTCTGACCTTGCTAGAAATGTCTGAAGAGACAAGTTGGGCTCTTCCCAGTTCTTTAAGAATCTTTTTTTTTTTTAACCTTTATTTAGAGTGTATGTATAAGTTGGTTTTTTCCTTTCCACTGTGTGGCTTCTGGGCATCAAACTCCAGTCATCAGGTTTGGCAGCAGGCTCCTTTACCCGGTGAGCCATCTTGCTGGTCCTGTTTCCACATTTTGAAACAGAATTCTGTCATTTGCCTCCGGAGCTTGCTGGGAGTTTAACACTTACAGTATGTACTTCGGAAAGCTCTGTTTATCTCTCCTACAGTCTGCAGAGGAGGGGCCTTGGCTTCCAAACATACACACTTTCAGAATCTCACCATCCTCTCTGTTTTTATAACTCGACACACAGGTTTTGAAACTGGGTGTTTTATCCTGGTTTCCTGTAGTCTCTGGGGGCTGTGGGTAACTCCATGCCTGCCCTAGGGCTGAGTCAGTTGGTCTTATGCCTGGGGGCCAAAGGCACAGGTGAAAGGGAAAAAAAAAAGGTGTCCTGGGAAGGTGACTTTTAAATTACAAATCAATAATTAATGAGTGAGAAAATCAACTTAATGAGGGGATGAGGAGATGGTTCCGTGGGGAAACGGCCTGTTGTACAAGCTTAAGAACCTGAGTTCAGAACCCTGGCACCCACTTCAAAACGTGGTAGCATGCGCCTGTCCATAACTCCAGGATGGGACGGTAGGGCACTAGAGACAGGTGGTTCGCCAGAGCTTGCTGGTCGTATTACCTAATCAAACCAGTGAGCGCCATTAGAAAGAGTGGGGAGATGGTTCCATGAGTAAAGAGCCTGTAGTTGGAACGTGAGGACCCGAGTTCAGATCCCCCTCACCTATGTCAAAAGCCACACAAACGTGTGCATGCCCCGTAGCCCCAACACGGGAGGGTCTGTAGAAGGGGATCAGCCCAATTTCAAGGGCTTGCTGGCCAGCCAATCTAACTGAATGAGTGAGCTCCAGGTTCAGTGGTACCCTGAGTTAACCATGGTTCCCTGGCTGGAGCCTGGACATTTCCTTGTTTGTAAAATGGAAGGCAGAAAGATTGGACCAGATGCTTTCTAGCCTTTCCATGTATTTATGAGTCTTTGGTCTAGAGATCTGGCTTTCTAGCTGGGCTGTTTGGGGTAGCCTCTACCCAGAGGCTGCCAGCTTAAGGAAGAGTGCAGCTAAACTATGGCTGTGTTGTCTCCTTTCCGGCAGGAAAGCCTTTACATTTTTGGGGAGAGGAGAACAGATAAAACCAGCAGCTCTAAGTTCCAAGGAATCGAGACCCCTTCTCAGGTAAGATCTCTGTCTGAAGGCTCTGTGGGAGGTCGAGAGATATCAGCCCTTGTCATTAATTTCGTGTCCCACCCTTCCAGTCTGATGGTCAGTTTCCCACCCTTCCAGTCTGATGGTCAGTTGACAGTGCTCGGGTGCCCTGGCCCAGGCTTTGCCCCCTCCCTGAGGCTGAGAGCCCCACCTCAGATGCCAAGCCTTGTGGTCTGCCCAGAACGTTCTACTTTACATTTTATATTCGTTACTGTTTCTAGAGTTCAGGCATTGATTTGCCCTCCCAAAGTAAGAGGGTCTTGACCTGTAACCATCATATAAAGTCTACCACTCAATTCCCTGACACCTATCCAAACACACGAACAATTCAATCCCTGAAGAGCATCACAGGAACTGTTTTTGGATGATTCACCTGTGTGTGTGTGTGTGTGTGTGTGTATGTGTGTCTTTGTGTGTGCCTGTATGTCTGTGTGTGTCTTTGTGTATTTCTATATGTGTGTGTCTGTATGTATTTATGTGTGTATGTATCTGTGTCTGTGTGTATTTCTGTGTATATGTATCTGTGTATGTGTGAATTTCTGTGTGTATGTGTCTGTGTGTATATGTTTGTGTGTGTGTGTCTGTATGTCTGTGTGTGTCTTTGTGTATTTCTCTATATGTGTGTCTGTATGTATTTGTGTGTGTATGTGTCTGTGTGTGTATGTATATGTCTCTGTGTGTCTGTATGTATTTGTGTGTGTATGTGTGTCTATGTCTGTGTGAATTTCTGTGTGTGTGTGTGTATGTCTGTGTGTGTGTCTGTATGTCTGTGTATATGTGTTGTAAGGGAGTAGGGGCTATATTAAAGAAAAACGAGCTGGGCAGTTGTGGTACATGTCTTTAATTCTAACACTTGGGAGACAGAGACAGGTGGATCTCAGAATTTGAGGCCATTCTGGTCTACATACTGAGTTCCAGGACAGCCAGGGCTACACAGAGAACCCCTGTCTTGAAGAAGAAAAAAAAACAGAATGAAAAGGAAAAATAAGTATTTTGGAAAACACTGCTATGAGTCAGGCATGGTGGCTCACGCCTATAATTCTAGAGTGAGGCAGAGGGATCTCAGTTTTGAGGCTAGCCTAGATAAAACCTTGTCTTAAAAATTTTATTATATATCAGATAATACTGTGTTTCATATACATGTGTGTATTTATATGGCACAGTTAATTCCATATACTAACTATTGTAAAATATATGCCATTGCCTTTTGTTCTTTCAAAAAAGTGTATTATGGAATTTCCAAACATCCTGTACTAGTGAGAATTGTTGGTGCTGTGTCAAATATGGGGTGAAACAGTTTAAAGGCAGGAAGGTTTGTCTGGCTCAGTTTAGGTTCATGGTCAATCGCTCCCTTTTCTTTGTCCCTGAGGGAGGCAGCAGATGAAGGAGCCAAACCATAACCTCAAACCTCAAACCATAACACATACACAGAAAGAGAGCAGGCCACTTTATGGTCATCATTCCACATCAGCATCATTCCAGCCGCCCATCGCTGGTTCTCTGCCATTCTCCTCAGTCCCCTGAGTACCACTCTCCACGCTTTCTTTCCCCAAACCTGAATTATTTTGAAGAAAATCCAGCCGACAGATCACTTTATCCCACAAGAATTTCAGCATGGTGTCTGACCAAAGGACTCTCTTAAAAATACCTTACTACCCACCAGACATGGTAGTGCATGCCTGTAATCCCAGTGCTCAGAACGCAGAGACAGGTAGATCTCTGTGAGTTCAAGGGGGCCAGCCCAGGCTACATAGAGTGTTCCAGGGCAGCCAGAGCTACACAGAGAAACCCTGCCTCAAAGCAAAACATAAATCTCCTTAATGTCATTTATCAAGGCTACCAGCACAAGGACTCAGCTACGGGTTTGGGAGGAATTGGCAAGGTCATGGACTAGAGTACTCTTGGTTGGGTACGGGTGGCCCCAGCAGTTGGGTAGTGGTTCTTAACCACCATCACATTCTATGACTTGTGGACCACTCAGCTGGCCACATTATATCCACTTCAGATTTAAGGACTTGTAGGAACCTTTCTCAGAACTGTCATTTCTTTTTTAAAAATGAGCATTTCAGGTTAGCGTACAAAATAATTGATGTCATCACGATGTCTCCATACATGTGTCATATTTTGTTCCCATTCACCCTCACCCCTGTGTCCGCTGTCCTCATCCATGAGCTACCACCCTCTGGCCCATGTCCATCATTCCCTCAGTTAGTACCCCCTTCTCCTCATTATTATATGGAATACATATACTAAGAGTTATATTATTATATATTATATTATATTGTATTATTATAATATTACATCATATTATTCTCCCTGTGTCCCCATTCCTTTAAGGTCTCTTTCTTCCCTGCTATGATACCCTTTCTAGTTTCATGAACTATATGTGAATACACAAACACATAAATATACACATGTACATGCACATCATATATAAATTTTAATTAGGTTCTATATAAAGAGAAAATGTGACAGACTCAGAAAGACACGTGACTTCTATTTCTTTCTTTCTTTCTTTCTTTCTTTCCTTCTTTCTTTCTTTCTTTCTTTCTTTCTTTGTGTGTATATGTGTTGGTGTGTGTTTGTCTGGTGCATGCAGGTGAGTGTGCAGGTACATGTGCTGTGTGTGTACATGGAAGGCATTGGACATATTCCTTCCTCTGTTGCTTTCTACCTTAGCATCCTGAGATGGGCCTCTCACTGAACCAGAAGACTGATGTGTGGGCTAGGCTGGGTAGTGAGTGAGCTCCGGGGATCCAGTTGTCTATACTACAATGCTGTTTTACAGGAGTGCACTGCCATGCCTGGGTTTCTTTTACATGGGTTTTGAGATTTGAAGTCAGTTCTTCATGCATGCATAGCAAATGTTTTTACCCACAGAGACATCTCACTGGTCCCAGACCTCCATTTCTAATAGGAAGCGTGACTGTTAATCTTGTTAGCACTTCCCAGTTGGTCCAACACCAGAATGGTTCAGCTTCCTGAAGAAAGATCCGAGGAACATCCTGTAAGCAGTATTTCATAGGGAAAGTATAGGGTTAGCGGTCCCCAAGGCATCCTCCTAAAAACATTCAAGGGAATGGAATGTGAAGAAGCTCTAGACAGGAGAGACAAAGAAGAATGATGTGTGATCTACTGACATATAGATGTCTTCCAGAGTCTTCATTTATGCAGTTCTGCTATGAATGGGGGCAACTTTCCACCAAACCATGTTTTTTTTTCTCTAATGTGGTCACTATAACTAAGTTTCAACCACCATGTTGAAATGTTGGGGCTGTTTTGATGTGTTTTGTTTTGTTTTTCTGAGCAGCCACCTTCTCAAGCATGAGCAGGGACTTGGAGATGGTTCATTCAGGAAAGTGCTTGCCACTCAAGCATGAGCACCTAAATTCAGGTCTCCGGCCCCCATGTGAAGGCCTGTGCCCCAAGTCTGGAACCTCAGCATCTGGGGAGGGGAAAAGGCAGAGACTGGTCACTCCACAGAGCTCACTGGCTAGCCAGTCTAACTAATGGATATAAACTCCAAGTTTACCAAGAGACCTTGTGTCCAAAAAATAAGATAAATCTCTGGGAATTCTAACCTAGATTGGTCTTATCAATAGCAAATTCAAGGCGAGCCAGGGCTACATGCTGAGATTTTATCTCAGTGATGATGATGATGATGATGATGATCCAAGAAGATAAATAACCAGCACCAACCTCTGGCCTCCACATGAGTACCCACATACCTATATGCACATATACTATCATATATATCATACAACACATGAACAAAACATGCAGCCCATATACAAGGATTGGCTCCTTTCATGGTAGTTCATTCACCACAGCACCAAACTCAGTATTTTTTCTTGGTAGATAGTCACTTATGAGACAACATACATGAAATATGCCCGACTACGTAATAGCATCCTGCAATTGTTTCCTCACCGTACCTGTATCTGACAAAGTCTTTGTAAAAAGGGGGAGGTGGGGAGGAAGAACAAAAAAAGGCAGGGTTAGTCCTGCTGACTTTGGACTTTCCATTCCCACTTAAATTGAGGTTTCTGTTGCTTTGCAGAATAGATATGTTAAATATTTTGAAAAACTGAAAATCAGCTACCAAAGCAGTCTCCCTCCAAGAACACTACTCGTGATAAAAAGATTCATAATTTATTCCATTCGTGGTAAGTGCCTTAATTGGAATTAAAGGATTGGGCAGAAGGGCCAGTGTTTTCAGGTTTGGAGAGTAGCTGTCTGCTTACAATTCCTCACACACGAGCTCCTACCTCTGAAGTTGCCCCCTGGCCATGTGGCAGCTTGTTGACAGCCCCTGAGTGTCCTCCCTCTCCTTCCCTTTTCTTCATCGGCTGGTGTAGGGTGGTTGGGGGAGGCATCTCTTGTCCCTTCTCATTGATTCTCTGACCTCAATCCAGGGTAGATTTCAGGACCAAGCCTTAGTGGAGGGCCAGGGAGAGGAGATAGCGCTGAGTACCTGAGAACTCTTCTTTTCCATGTCCGCCTGGTAATTCTTTGTAGCAGTTAAGGGGATATAAAACACCACGACAAAGCTGCTTTCTCCTAACCCTCCCCATCTTCATGTAGATCCAGGTAGAGAGGGAGCAAGGGCCGGCGCTTAGGAAGCCTTTTTCCAGACCTGTGTGCTCTGAATCTCTGGCTGTTCGTCTTTGAGCTGGTTCTCTCCTTTGCCAACCACATGGGAAGTTCTTTATAAATATTGGTATTAGTTCACCTCTAGTTCAGGGTTCATCTTGCAGAGGCATCCTCATATAATTTTCCCACCTGCCCTTTCAGAGACCCTTTTTCTCGTCACCTGATCTCTTCATTTATCCCCCTCTCCTTCACTGGCATCTCCGTCGTGGTGCCTTAAATACCCAGGCAGCAAATGTTGCATTTATTGCCACATAACTACTAAGGCTTATGTCAGACCAGGCTTATCCCAGTGTCTCCTGCCCTTTAGAAGTCCTTGGGTAGAGTCTGCAGTCTCTAATTGTCTGCAGTTGTGTGTTCACCACCACCCACATAAAATGGAACATATATAGGGGACACATACACACACACATACACACACACACACACACACACACACACACACACACACACACACACACACCATTCCAAGGCTGAGGTCATTGGAAGGAGGGGGTGGAAAGATTGTAAGAGCCAGAGGAGGCAGATGATGGCAGGGAGACAGTGTCTTCCTAACACAGGGGGGAAGTTGCACATGGGAACTCACAGTGGCTGTGCCAGCATGCACAAGACTAGTGCAAGCCCATGCCAGACCAAATCCCAGCGTGCAGAGGGAAGTTGGGCATGAAATCCTATGTCCAGCTGAGGAGCTGTTGGCGAGTGATGGCTGCCAGGAGAAGAGTCAGTTTTCTCTGAGAGGTTAGCCTCCAGTAAGTCAACCCCATTCCAGTGGGAGACCACCATTCAAGAATATCTGGAAAGTACAAACTAGTCTTGATGGGTTTCAATAAAAGAACAAATAGATACAAAGTAGAGTGGGTATGGAAGGGGTGGATCTGGGAGCGTTGGGAGTAGAAGATGAATATGATCACAAGTTATGTGTAAATTCTCATAGAACGAATACCAATATTTTTAAAGAAGTTTCCGTGTGGTTGGCAAAGGAGGGAACCAGCTCAAAGATGAACAGCCAGAGTTTCAGAGCACACGGGGCTGGAAAAAGCTTCCTAAGCGCCAGCCCTTGCTCCCTCTCTACCTGGATCTACATGAAGATGGGGAGGGTTAGGAGAAAGCAGCTTTGTCGTGGTGTTTTATATCCCCTTAACTGCTACAAAGAATTACCAGTAGCAGAAATCCTCATCATCTTCCATGGAGCTAGTGGTCTGTTCTAGAATGTAAGAGGAGAGAGGCTGTGACTAGGATCTACTGTCACCCATGGAAGGAAGGAGACTTGGTAGGCTTTCCACCTCTGAGATACGAGAAGAAAAAGAAGCATCCGTTGTCTATTTCCCCATCACTCTCCATGCTTCCCACATACACAACTCACTCTTAGACAATGTAGCAAAGCATGAACGTCTCACCCAGAAGAGAGGGGGCCGTGCCACTGCCAAGAAAGCCACTAAAGACGCTTCTGAACCTTTAAAAGTCCATGTCAGCTAGGTAGTGGACCATGCAGAGTCCTAAATGATGGGTGCCATGGAAACCATTACCAGACACTAGCATCCTCCAGATGACCTAGGATGTCTAGCCTTCTAAGGAGCCACACAAAATCATACCTAGGTATATAGTCTTTGACATTTGCCCAATCATTCAGAAAGAAACCTTTAAGATACAAATTAAAACTGCCATTGGAAGATTGCCTACATATATTTGTTTACTTTGGAAATTTTAAGGAATTCCTACAGAACTGTTTAGACTTCTCTCTTCCAGAACCAAACTTCAACCTATTGTTTGTGTGTAGATTTCGAAAGGAGCACGATGAGTAGAGTCCCCTGTCCTAGCAGGAGACAGCTTGGGTGTGTAAGTGAGCAGCTGTCTGTGCCAAGTCCATTGTTAATGCTTCCTGGGACCCATAAGACCCAGTGCTGGCCTCACTCACTATTCCAATCGCGCTTAGATCCCTCTTCCTCATCTGAGGGAGGGTAGATGCCACCTTGTCCAGTAGGTGATAAAAAGATGGTGGTGGCTATGCCCCCCTCACCCCCTTTTTCATCTGGAAAAGAGATTTGCACTGCCTTATTCTGCACCACAAAAGGCAGCGCCCTATGCTGATGGAACAATTTCTTCCACTAAGAAATATAAATGCAACTATACAACCACACTAGCTAATGACAGACTGTTTAGTCCCTGAGTGTGTACCATGTCTCAGCTGCTTATGTGTGGTCAAGGGGCATTTAGTCTGATGAGAATTTAATGCATTTCTCTAATATGAACATTAAGAATAAAAATTGTTTCTTGAAAAGTCTAAGATTGCAAATGTAGTAAATTCGAATATCTCATCCGTTGCCTTGACCTGATATCTAATCATAAGACTACAATTTCCCTCAATAATAGTTTCACATTTATTTAAACCCTGGGGAGACATTGTTTATTTCACACTACAAAGTTTTATTAAAGATTTAGTCAAAGACCAGAGAAGCTAACACAAACGTAAACGTTCATGTGAAGTCTAGCAGGGCATTTCATGGGCTTGATTTCCTAATTTCGACTTAACATAAGGCTGAGGCCTTTAAAGACCATCTAAGAACGATTCCTCATGAAGACCTGTGGACAGAAACTTGAGCTTATAATCCTAGTCTTAAAAAGAGGATTGCTCTAGATTTACAGAATAGACTTCAGGAGGACTACATGTCAGGTTAACATTGTTAACATTATGGCAGTAACCAAGGCAATAACCAGTCTTGTTTTTGAATAAGAATAACCTTACCTTAAAAAATTTGGTCAAAATAGAAAGAGAATGGAAAGGTGTAAAAGACTTGAAAATAGATAAATATCTGTCTAGTGCTGCTGTTCAGGCTTAGAGTACCTTTGATTGCCTTTGAGCTATTTTGTAACTTTTTACTTTGAAGAAAATTGATGATTACAAATAATCTGTCCATAGAAATAGAAGTTAGTTGTGTCCAGTAGCTTGTACTTACTTGTTAAGCTCAGTCATTTCCTGCCTGCCTGTTCATGTGTGCTACTTTACAAAACCTATAACATTGTACTTCCCCTTCACTTATCAATTAGTTAAACCCAAATTTTGGCAAAGTCTAAGGCAATGATATACTATGAAACTATTTCTGTAAAACAGAAAGGGACATATGTGTTCACATTTATGTGGGAAACAAATATTTGCTGTTGATTAGGTTGAAAAACAAATCAAGTTGCCTTGCCTAGCCTTAATAGAAGGCAAGGTGCTTAGCCTTACTGCAACTTGATACGCCATGTTTTGTTGATAACCATGGGAGGCTCGCCTTTTTCTGAATAAAAACGGAGGAGTGGATGGGAGGAAGGCAGAAGGGAGGTGTGGGGTGAGGGACTTGGAGGAGAGAAGGGAGGGGAAACTGTGATTAAGATGTTTATATACATATAAAACAAAAATTCCCATCCCTAAAAAAATTAATAATATTGGTTACATATTTGGGGCTGAAGGATGGATAAGATGGAGATTTCTCACTGCATAGGATTTTTGTTTGTTTTACTTTTATGTTTTAAAATCTTTAAGATCCACTTACACAGTTTGCAATTTTTTTTTTTTTTTTTTTTTTTTGGTTTTTCGAGACAGGGTTTCTCTGTGTAGCTTTGCGCCTCTCCTGGGACTCACTTGGTAGCTCAGGCTGGCCTCGAACTCACAGAGATCCGCCTGGCTCTGCCTCCCGAGTGCTGGGATTAAAGGCGTGCGCCACCACCGCCCGGCCAGTTTGCAATTTTTAAGTGTGGGAGAACTTAAGGGCTTCGATACATTCATTTTTTCTGTCATGTGGTAAGTATTTGACTTCATATGATTCTATAATTTTTTTCATTTTATCGTCTGTATTCATTGTACATAATACTGTGTTACATAAAACATCTTCATACAAGTGCACAACAGTTTTACATTTTATTTCTGGTCAACATCAGTGGTTCAGTCACTGGAATGGAGCAGAGGAAACTGAGGCACGAAACCACAGTTCATGATGCTAATTTAGTAAGATGGTGTTAATGAAACCTTAAATATAAAATATATATATATAAATATAAAGAAAACGATGTTAGATGGACCATCAAAAATGACTATGACTTTATTAGCATATCTGTCAAGGTAAAATATGGGGGAAAGTTGGATGGAGGCTTCCCAAACCAGGTGTTTGAGGGAATGATGAAGTGGGGACCATTAGAACTCAGAATAGGGGCATGAGACCATTTATGTAAAGTTTATACTTAGTACTAAAGGAAGTCTGAATATGGCCACCTTGTATTTTTTATAGAGAGAGATTGCTTTAAGAACTGGACTCAGGGTAGAACAAGAGGAATTTTGATAATTATTTTTAAATGTCATGATTGGAAGTCCAAGAAAGTTTGCAAGTCACCATCCCTGGGTTGTTTTTTTTTTCCTAGAAAGATGAAACAATAGAATTCTAACTGTTAGAAACTAAATTACATGTTTTTACATGTATTTTCCCCCTCTTTCTCTAACCTTATCAACTCTGCTTTAGAGACAAAATTGGGTTTTTGAAGTCCTGTTTTTCAAAAACAAAATCTGTAAAAGGCCAAATGACTAAACATGGCCACATTGTTCAATGAGCTCATTGCTCTCTTCTCAAGTTATGGTGTCAATAGGAGAGCTGTTAGGACGTTTAACAAGTCTACATTCTTCATTTTTACCCAGGTGTTGGAAAAGGTGATGGAAGCGATCTACAAGTTCAAATAATAATGTGGCAGGAGACTATATTTTCCTGTTTTTCTTCCAAAAATTGTATGGTAAGAGAAAACACATGAACTTAGATTTCTGGCTTTATTTTTGCTTTTGTTGGTGTGAGTATGTGAAGGGGTATAGGTGTGTGTCCTGGTGTGGGAGCAAGTGTGTGTGCCTGCTTGTGGAATCCAGAGGTCAAGGTTGGGTGCCTGCTTTAATGGCTTCCCACCTCATTTTCCCAGACTAAGTATCTACCGATCCTGGTGTTCACTAATTCAGCAAGGCCAGGGATCCGTCTGTCTCCACATCCCCAGTACTAGGGTTACGGAGTGATCCTCCACACCCAACTCCCTGTGTAGGTGCTGAGGATCCAAACTCAGGTCCTCGTATTTGCACAACAGGCTCTTACCCAGCTAAGCAATTTCCCTAGCCCCGGTGTGTAATTGAAAACTCAGCATCAAAACAGCATGTTTATTTCCCAAGCCACAAAGAGATGCTTGTTGCTCTCTGGTTACCATCCAATTGGTGGATGCTTGGTTTTGATAAAAACCAGAACTAGCTTACTTCACCTTGCTGCTCAAAATGGGTTTTGCAAGACATTTTCTGTAAATTCTGGCCCAGTCTTGCTTTATCTTTCACTTTCCCACAATGTTTAAGTGCATTCCCAGCAATCTATCAAGGTTTTAAGTTTATGTCTTGTTGTTGGTTGTTTTGTCTTTTTTAACTCTTGCTCTTTTGAGGGGCCCTGACCATCCAGCTACTAAATAAATACACACATGAAGGGTTATTCTTAATTATAAATGCCCGGCCTTAGCTTGGCTTGTTTCTTGACAGCTTTTCTTAAGTTATTATCTCATCTGCCTTTTGCCTCTGGGCTTTTACCTTTCTCTTACTTCTGTGTATCTTACTTTCACTCTTACTCTGTGGCTGGCTTGTCCCTAGTGTCCTCCTCTCCTTGTTCTCTTGCTCCTTCTTTCTCTCCCAGATTTCTTCTTCTATCTACTCTCTCTGCCCGCCAGCTCCACCTATCCTTTCTCCTGCCTCACTATTGGCCATTCAGTTCTTTATTAGGCCATCAGGTGTTTTAGACAGGCAAAGTAACACAGCTTTAATGTACCTCAGAGTTTTGTTGTGTTATTTTTGTTTAGTTTCAGGAGAACAACAACCCTTCTTTCTTGATGTCTCCTTTGACCCAGTGTTATTTAATGTGTAATTTAATTTCTATGAGTTTGTTTTTATTAGTTTGTTTTGTTGCTGATTTTAAGTTTTATTGCATTGTGGCCACATAGAATGTATAGCGTTATTTCAATTGTTTTTGTATCCTGGTATATGATCTGTTTTAGAGAAAGTTCCATGGGATGCTAAGTAGAATATATATTCTTTGGTGTTTGGGTAGAGTACTTGACAGATGCCTGTTAGGTCCTTTTGATGTCTGATGTCATATAATTCCAATGTTCCTCTGTATTTTTTATCCAAATTGTCCTTCTATTGGAGTAGGTGAGTTATTGAAATCAGTCACCTGTTATTACTGGGGTGATGTTAATCTGTGTTTTGAAGTTTGTAGTTGTTTTGTGTGGTGGTATTGTGTTCCCCCAAAATATTGTGCACCCTAATAAACTTATCTGGGGTCAGAGAACAGAACAGCCACTAGATACAGAAGCTAGAAAATGGTGGCATTCATGCCTAGCATTCCAGAGGCAGAAATCTCTCTGGATCTCTGTGAGTTCAAGGCCACACTGGAAATAGCCAGGTATTGTGACACATGCCTTTAATCCCAGGAAGCAATGGGAGAAAGCAGAAAGGTATTTAAGGCTTGAGGACCAGGAACTAGAGCGGGTTAAGCTTTCAGGCTTTCAAGAAACAGTTCAGCTGAGATTCATTCTGGATGAGGACTCAGAGGCTTCCCGTCTGAGGAAACAGGATCAGCTGAGGAATTGGTGAGGCGAGGTGACTGTGGTTTGTTCTGTCTCTCTGATCTTCCAGCATTCACCCCAATACCTGGCTTTAGGTTTGATTTTATTAATAAGACCTTCTAAGATTCATGCTACAGTTTAGTTTTTTGTTTGTTTTGTTCTTAATACAATTGAGTGCCTGAGAATTTGGTGCATATATGTGTAGGACTGTAATGTCTTCTTGGTTAATTGTTCTCTTTGATCAGAATGGTGTAACCTTCTTTATGTCTTCTGAATAATATTAGAGGATAGATTTCCTTTCTTTATTCAAATAGCCTGTGTCTTTTGAATGGAGAGTCAAGGGCATTTATATTTAACGCTACTATTGAAAGAAAAGAAATGTGTTCATTGCTCTCTCTCTCTCTCTCTCTCTCTCTCTCTCTCTCTCTCTCTCTCTCTCTCTCTGCTCTTTGTATAATTGTTTCTATCTTGTGTTCCATTGATTATAGCTTCATTTATTTTCTTTCCATACTTCCCTGTTACTCAGGTGTGCCCTCTGTTTCTGAATGTACCCCTTTTTAAATTAAAATTTAGAATTTAATTAAAATGCTTTTCTTTTATTGAAATAGAATTTTTTCATATGATATATTCAGATTACCATTTCCCCTCCCCCAACTACTCCAAGAGTCTCCCCATCTCCCTTCCCTTCCAGATCCAAACCCTTTCTGTCTCTCTTTAGAAAACAAACAGACAACTAAAGAATAGTTAATAAAATAAGATAAAAGAAGCCAGAATAGAACAAAACAAACAAACACACAAACAGAAGAAAAAGAGCCAAAGAAAAAACACGAGAAACACGTATAGAGACACACCCACATTTGTACACACAGGAATTCCCTAAATGCACAAAATTAGAAGCCATAATATATAAGCAAAAGGATCTGTAAGGTTAAAAAAACAAACAAATGCCCTGACACAGCATTATAAGACAAAGAACCTCCAAACATGCCATCAGTTCATTTCGTGGTGGCAGTCTACTGCTGGGCATGCACTTGGCCTTTGGAATGGTTTGAATCCCCAGTGAGACTCCATGGGAGAGAACTAGTTTTTCATTTGTGAGTGATTATCAACTGGAGATAGGTTCTCAGCTAGGGATGTGGGCTTGCGTGTATTTTTTCTCTCAGCTGGGACCCCATCTGCTGCAGAACCATGCAGGCCCTTATGCATGCTGCACATCAGCCATGAGGAGTTGGTAGGTCGGTTCTCCGGCTCTCAGTGTTGATTTTTATTTTATGTGTACAGGTGTTTTGCGTGCTTGTACATGTACACCATGTACATGCAGTGCCCAGAGAACCCAGAATAGGGCATCAGATTCCCATCGGTTACAAATGGTTGTCAACTACCATGTGGGTGCTGGGAACCAAACCCAAGTTCTCTGAAAGAATAGCTAGTACTTGTACCTGCTGAGCCATCCCTCCAGCCCCTCGGTGTTGATTTTTGACTAGATACCTGGGGGTGATTCCAATCCAGTGGTAAGCAAGAATGTGTATGAATAGGGCTTACGGCTGGGCCTGCCTGGGATGGTGTACAAGCTTCGGTAGTCAGGCTATGCATAGGAGTGTGTGCAGGTGAGACGTCATCTGAAGTATCCACCAGGCCAGGCTGCCGAGTACACAGACTGTGCCAGCAAGGTTAGGCCTTGGGTTTGGCACAGCGGGGTGATGTTCTGTGGGAACTTACCAGGCTAGGTCGGCACAGAAGCCGAGCTCACAGAGCTAGGTAGGCCCGAGTGTTGGGGATATTGTAGGTGGTTCATGTTGCAAGGAACTCACCAGAATGGGTGGATGCAAAGGCTGTACACCCAGCACTAGACATCCGGTTTGGGGATGGCATGCGTAGTGCATTTTTAAAAATAACTTATTTCTTTTATGTACATTGGTGTTTTAGTATCCTAGGACTGGAGTTACAGAGAGTTGTAAGCTGCCATGTGGGTGCTGGGAACTGAACCCAGGTCCTCTGGATCCTCTCTTAACCGCTGAGCCATCTCTCCAGCCCGCATAGTGCATTTTTAAAAAAGGCTTCAACATAGGAAAATGAGATGATGAATATCCAACTGTAAAGCTTTCTTGGTTGAGATCTATTATATTTAATTATGTATTTTTCAACAGTGTCCCATCAGGGCCTTCAACAGATGTAAGGTTAATTTAAATAACTGAGTTACAATTTCATAGAAAGATTAATATCTACATATATATATGTGAAATGACTGGACTTTGACATCAAGGATACTTGATAAATTTAGGATGTTTGAGGAAGTAAAAGTGGACTTCACTCTTATACATCTTAACCAAGCATATAGTTGTGAATTTCATATGTTTGTTCACAGATATTTCATGACGTTGAAACAGACAGAGTAATAATTGATGTATTCAAATGTCCAGCTCTATATGAGGATGTGAAAGTGAAATTTCTCTGTCCGGTGAGTAATGAAGACACACCTTGTTCTTGTCTGGTCTTTTTCTTTTGTTTTAGTTTTTTGAGACAGAGTTGCATAGTCCTTATTATATAACCCAGGCTGGCCTAGAACATGTGATCCTCCTGCCTCAGCCTCCCAAGTGCTGGGGTTACAGGGTTGTGTCACCAAGGGTGACTCTTTCTTGTGTTGTGGTCTTTTTAATGATTTTGGTTTGGAATTTCCTTTGCTACAATTCCCAATAAAGGAAATGACAGATTGGGCTGGAGAGATGGTTCAGTGGTTGGGACCCTTGGCTGCTCTTCTGGTAGACCGGGGTTCAATTCCCAGCACCCAAAAGGCAGCTTACAACTGTTCCTTGAAAAAAGACTACTGATCCATTCATCTCTAGCTCACAAAAAAAATAAAAAATAAAAAAATAAAAAGGAAATGACAGACATCAGCCCATGGCCAGGAAATTAGAGGAAAGCAACAAATCAAAATGAGACTTTTTTCCCTGAAGAACATATATAATATTTTTGTTCATTTTATAAGTTCTATATAATAAGCACATATTAATTTTCAAATAAAATGGAAAGTCTTGATTTGAAAAAAAGACAAAAATACTGCAAATCAGTGATTATGTTTTTGTTTTGTATCTTTAAGATACGTTGTAGCCACTGGGAATTCAGGCATACGTCTTTAATCCCAGCACTCAGGAGACAGAGGCAGATGAATCTCTATGAGTTTGAGGTCAGCCTGGTCTACATTGTGGGATCCAGACCAACTGAGCTACATAGTGAGATTCTGTCTCCCCAAATCCCAAAATGGCAAGCAAACAAAACACCATATTATTGCCAATAATTTATAACAGACTTTAAAATAAAGGTTTTTAACTTATCTTTGAATTGATAAACAATATAATCATTTTATTAATCTAATCTTGCCTTATGAAAAATGGGAATGTCTTCCATTGTCTTTACTCAGAACATCTTAAGTTATCAGCTATAAATACTATGTCTGGATATTTACTGCATGTAGCAATCTTAAAGCCTCACTAGTTTCATTTTTTCTATAAAATTATTCATCTGAACTGCAAATAACTATGTTAGTCAACTTAAAATGTCTGTTCCTTTTTCATCCTCTGCCTGCTTTCTGCTAGCTACTTAAATTATAAACAGGTTGAAGCAGGTGACGTAGGTGGTTCCCATACATATAGGCTGGCTGCCTTGAAGAATGGAGCCGCTCTGAATTCTCACTCCCGAAGCAATCTCTAACCAAAGATAGTATCCCAGTGCCATTTGTGAGGGACACCTACAGTAGCACCTGGGGACCCTTGAAAGATTACTCTGAGCCTTGACTTTTAGACACTTTGACCCGAGCTTGACCAGGATCCACGGCTCTGAGGCAGAAAGGAATTTTGGGACTGGCAAGTATGAATCAGAATTGGTGTTAATAAAGATATTACAATATACATTCTAAAAGCAAGGATCAGGAGAAAGAAAAGCATCCAGAAACAAAGGCTGGGTGCAGGCTTCTCTGAGAGTCACAGTGTCATTTTAGTAGTCTTATTTTGGTGGACGTTAAAGGTATTATGAAAGGATTGTTTGGAGCCTAAATTAGATAATAGGGTGGTTCCTGGGGATCATCTGACAGGATTACAATTGATAACCTCAGGAGTAGCAGAAGGTATGGTATCAATGTGCAGAAGTCAGAAGGAATGATGCCCTTCCCTAGGTCGTATACATTCAGGCCTTAAGACTGGTCCATTGCTATCTTAACATACAGTATCTACATAAGGAAAGAACAAACTCTCTGTCAGCAACTTGTATAACAATGATAATTGTGCTAGAATTCTTACTTCCCAGCTGGCAAGAGGTTTCAACCTGCATGAAGGTTCTTCTTTCCCTTGTCATGTCCTCATATTTTCTCATCTTTCTTTCTGGCCCCACAAAGACCATTGGTCAAGGAACCTTGGTAAAAATACAGCCTTTGTGATCATCAAAGCCGTAACATGAAAAGTACATTCCAAAAATATAGGCATTTCTTTCTTTCTTTTTCTTGTCTTTTCAAGACAGGGTTTCTCTGTATAATAGCTTTGGCTGTCCTGGAACTTGCAGTGTAGCCCAGGCTGGCCTCAAACTCACTCAGATCTGCTTGCCTCTGCCTCCTGAGTGCTGTTATTCAAGGTATGCGCCACCACCGCCCAGCAAATATAGGTATTTTTATCATCAGCTTTGTTGTTGATAATTAATTATTCAGTGTAGCTTCTCCTTGCAGAAATCAGTAAGAAACCCTTTCTTTTCCTTTAGATTTGTCTTGAGACTTCTCTCTGGAGAGTGGCTATAACTTTTAAGCTTGTTCTAATAGATTTCCTAATGAAGTGGTTGTATATACTTAGGTGTCTTTCTCAAACTATTTCTTTGTCCTGGTCGACAGCCTAATGCCTAAGTGTCTGATCAGTGACCTTCTCACAGGAACCTGTTTCTATTGGCAGACGTCCTGTGGTTCTTGTCTGCCCTCTCTAGTTTATTCCTATAAAGATGGCCACTTTCTAGGCTAGCCCTGGAAGGAAGAACATTGTGTTCAGGTGTGCTAGGTAGATATGCTGGAGATAATCACAGATCGCAAAAGATAATAACAGCAGCAGCTTTTCATTACTTGGAAGAATCCCAGAAAGAAGAGGGCAGCATGCCTCATGGGAACGAAGAAGAGCGCCACCTAAAGGCAATAGAAAGCGATCTCAATCAATATAACCTCTAGGTCCATCCCCTTTTGTGCAAAGTCCATGATTTCATTTTTCTAAACATCTGGACAGAATTCCATAGTGTGTATGTGCCACATTTTCACTAACCATTTCATCATGATTTCATTTTTTTTAACATCTGGACAGAATTCCATAGTGTATGTGTGCCACATTTTCACTAACCACTTTATCATGATTTCATTTTTCTTAACATCTGGACAGAATTCCATAGTGTACATGTGCCACATTTTCAGTATCCACTTCTCAGTTGAAGGACCATTGGGTTGCTTCTGTTCCCTAGCTATTGTGAATAGAGCAGCAATGAATGAGGCTGAACAGAGCATCCGTGGAGTAGGACGTTGAGTCCTTTGGGCATATGGTAGATTTATTTTTAGTTTTTTGAGAATTCACACTGATTTCCACAGTGCCTGTGCAGTTTACAGTCCCACCAAGAGTGAATGAAAGTTCCCTTTTCTCCACAAACCATTTTGTTGATCTTTCCCGTTCTTACTAGGGAAAGATGAAATGTCAAGGTTGTTTTGATTTGCATTTCCCTAATTGCTAGGCATGAGAAACTTTTTTTGAGACATTTATTATCCATTTTTTCCCTCTTTTGAGAACTCTGTTCAGGTCCATGTTTTAAATGTCTTTTTATTATTGTTACTATTCTTCATTTTATCGAGTTCTTTATATATTCTGGATACTAATCCTCTGTCAGATGTGTAGCTGGCAGAGGTTCTCTCCCATTCCGAGGCTTCCTTCTTTAGCTGTGCAGAAGCTTTTTAGTTTTCTGAAGTTCCACTTCTCAGTTGTGAGCCTTCATTCCTGGGCAGACCACCCTGTTCAGAAAGTCCTCTCCTACATCTATTTGATGTGGGGTACTATGTGCTATTCTTGCACTTTCAACATTTCAAGTTTCACGTTTAAGTCTTTGAGCCATTAGAGTTAGTTTTTTTGTGTAAGGTGATAGAGACAGGTCTAATTTCATTCTTTTGTATGCAGACATAGAATTTACCCAGCACCATTAGTTAAAGATGCTTTCTTGCTGGGCAATGGTGGCATGGTGGCACATGCCACGCCTTTAATCCCAGCACTCAGAAGGCAGAAGAAGAAGGATCTCTGTGAGTTCAAGGTCAGCCTGGTCTACAGCGTGAATTCCAGGACAAGCAAGATTACACAGAGAAACCCTGTCTTGAAAAAAAAAAAAAAAGGATGCTTTCTTTTCTCCAGCCTTTGTTCTGGGCATCTCTGTCAAATATTAAATGGCTGAAGTTACAGGTGCCCATATTTGAGTCTTTTATTTTGTTCCATTGGCCTATATGGCTGTACCATATTTATTATGGTTCTGAAATATATCTAAAATCTGGAATAATAATTCCTCCAGCATTGTTATTTTTCCTTGGAATGGTTTTGGCTATCCAGAGTCTTTGTGATTCCATATGAATTTTAGGATAGTTGTTGGTTTTTTTCTATTTCTGTGAAGAATTGAGATAGAGCTTTTGCATGGGGTTGCATTGAATCTGTATGTAGTTTTTGGTAAAATGGTCATTTTCCTAATATTAATTCTACCAACCCATAAGCACAAGATGTCTCTCCACTTTCCAGTGTCTTAATCTCTTTCTTTGGGGTCTTAAAGTTTTCATTGTAGAAGTCCTTTACTTCCTTGGGTAGGTTTCTTCCTAGATATTTGAGGATTGTGAATGGGAGTTAGTCTTTTATCTCCTTTTCTATATGTTTGTTAGCGGTGTGTAGAAAAGCTCTTGATTTGAGCAAGTTGATTCAGAATCCTGCCACATGGCCATGTTTGTCTTCTTCTTTCCCTGTTTGTGCTACTTTAATTCCCTTCTCTTGCCTTATTGCTCCAGCTAGTGTTTCTAGAACAATATTGAAAGGGAGTGGGGGGTCGGGAACATCATTTTCTCATTCATGACTCTAGTGGGATTGCTTCTAGCTTTTCTCCATTTAGGATGATGTGTGTGCGGGTTTCTCATATGTGGTTTTATTATGTTGCATTATGTTCCTTCTAGCCTTACATTCTCTAGGACTTTTACCATGAATGCATCTATTGTCAAAGGCGTTTTCTGCGTCTATTGAGATGTCCATGTGATTTTTCTATTTAAGTCCATTTATGTGTTTTATTGCGTTTATTGACTCGCATATGTTGAACCCTCCTTGCATTTCAGGGCTAAAGCTAACTGGGTCATGGTAGATAATATTTTAATATATGTGTGTATTCTGTTTGTCAGTGTTTTATTGAGCATTTTTTAATCTGTAGTTTGAAAGCTGTAGTTTTCTTTTTTTGTTGTGTCTTTTCCTGGCTTTGGAATTAAGAGTGGAGTACACCTTCTGTTTCTGTCTTATCATTTAGGAAGGATTGGCTGCAGATCTTCTTTGAAAGTCTGGTAGAATTCTGATGTCTATCCTCTGGCCCTGGACTATTTTTAAGCTGGAATTTTTTTTTTTTTTTTTTTGGTTTTTTTCGAGACAGGGTTTCTCTGCGTAGCTTTGCGCCTTTCCTGGAGCTCACTTGGTAGTCCAGGCTGGCCTCGAACTCACAGAGATCCGCCTGCCTCTGCCTCCCAAGTGCTGGGATTAAAGGCGTGCGCCACCACGCCCGGCTCAAAGCTGGAATTTTTTTATATTATTATTTCAATCTCACTTATTATGGTTTAGGTTGCTGGCTTCTTCTTGGTTTCACTTTGGTGGTTTTTGCTGAATCCAGAAATTCATCCACTTCTTTTAGGTTTTCCAGGTTAAGAGAATACAGGTTTTTAGAATATTCCCTTATATAATTCTGAATTTCTTTGGTGTTTGTTGCAACATTTCCATGTTCGTTTCTGATTGTGTTAGGTCCTATTTGGTCTGTCAATCTTGTTTATGTTCTCAAATAACCAGCTCTTAGATTCATTGATTCTGTGTATTGTTAGGTGGTGTGCTTCTAATTTTTTTTTCATTTTTTAACAGTACAAATATCTGGAAAAATATAATACACATAAGTCACTACATATATATGTGTGTATATGTGAATATATGAGAATATATATGTGAGAGTAAATATGTATATGGGTTGACAATGCTTCTTCCAATAGCAAAAGACCAAAGACCAACTAACAAGAACCCCAACACCACTCATGAGAGTCCCAGGAAGTAATATGGCAGGACACAGAAAAGTATATAAGGTGTGAGAACCAGGAACTAGAGGTTTTTAGAAGCTTTTAGGGTTTTTAGGCAGTTCAACTGAGACCCTCATGGGTGAGGACTCAGAGGCTCTTCAGTCTGAGGATTTGTGGAAACAGGGATCAGCTGAGGAGTTGGCGAGGTGAGGTTGGCAGTGGCTTGTTCTGTCTCTCTGATCTTTCAGCTTTCACCCCAATATCTGGCTCTGGATTTTTTCTTTTATTAATAAGACCGTTTAGGAATTTGTGTTACATATGTAACAACAATTAATGAAAACAGAGGCTTTGGATTACAAAAAGAGCAAGGAGGGTTACTTGGAAGACATGTTTCCTTCCTTCCCTTTCCTCCTTCCACCCCCTTGTATCTTCTCCCCTTGCACCCTCTCAAATGTTGAGATACCTTCTTCCACATTGTCACTGGTGTTGCCCTAGTTCAGGTCTTGTTTAAGCAGTCATGTTGTTGTGGTGCCATGGATGAAGCCTGCCTGTGTTTCTAAGAGACACACGTCGTCGCTGATGTCCTAGTCTTCTGGCTCTTACAGTATTTCTGACCCTTCTTCTCCATTGCTCCTTGAGTCTTAGGTACAGGAGCTGTGCTGTGGATGTGTCCATTGGAGCAAGGTGCTCCAGGGTAAGTTGTTCTCAGTGTTTTGACCAGTTGTTTCTTGTAGTTGTTGTTTTTTGTAATGATCTTGGTCTGCTACAAAGAGAAGCTTCCTTGAGGAGGTTTAAGAACTACACTCCATCTGTGGGTATAAGGATAAGTATTTAGAATGCAGTTAGGAAATATGCTGGTTTAGTAAAGTGGTGATACTAGGTTAGTCTCTAAGACCCAATGACAACTAGCTCCAGGGAGTTGACTAGGTTTCCAGTACCAGCCATGATTATCTCCTGATGAGTGGGCCTGATGTCTTCATTAGACAGTTGTTGGTTGCTGCCAAGATGGAGTGCCACTGTTGCACCCTAGGGATATGTTGCCATGTTCATGGCTGGGTAGGCTAGTGGTTGCTTCCCTCCCCTCGAAGCATACATAGCACCTTCCAGAGGCTTTCAGGTCAGATTGAGCTTGGATCTTCTGAGTCCTGCATCCAAAGTCCATAGTGTCTTCAGCAATAGGGACATCCCTTCAACCTCTGGGAGGTAACCAATAGCAACAGCAACAGCCTATATTGTTTGGAGAATCTCTGAGTCTACCCTGACCAATAATTTGAAATGAAAGTTTCTCACACTTGGTACTGTGGGTTTTGTTAGTCTATCGCTCTTGGTGGAGATGCTGTCAGCTCAAGCAGCATGATTTCATTTAAACTATATATGTATATGTGTGTGTGTGTGTGTGTGTGTGTGTGTGTGTGTGTGTGTGTGTGTGTGTGTGTGTGTGTGTGTGTGTGTGTGTGTGTGTATGTGTGTGTATACACACCCTTATAGGTACTATAAGTAAATTTAGGCTAATAAAAATAATGATTCCTATGGCTTTTCAAACACTGGCATTTTTAATGCATAAAAGTTATATTTTTAAGTTTAATTTATCTGTTTTATTTTACTTCACTGCACTAATCTGATATTTATATTTTAATTGAAATTACCAGCTAAATAATACATTCTAACACATTTCCTTAAAATTTTTAACACCAAGAGAAAGCAAGATTCTCTTGAAGCCTTCTTTGCGTCTTGAGTGTATCATTATAAACTGTAAAGTGTTGCATATTTAATGTTTGTGATGGCTTAATATGTTTTTACAGGAATAAGGGAAGAAATTTTAAACTCGTTGGAATCATTAGTTCTTTGTATCAGTTTTATGATGAAACTAACCTTTTTCTTTAACCATGTCTTTTTTAGAATCTTCCTAAATACTATGATGACTGCCCTTTTTTCTTTTGGTTTCATACAGCTTTTATACGAAAAAACAGGTAGGGATACAGTGTAATGCACCAGAACCAGCTTCATGCTCCATGTATGTATTATGACAAGGTTTATGCCAGCTGTCCTAAGTTCAACTTATAGAAACAAAACAAAATCCTTGAGTCACCCCAATGCATTAGTCATCTAAATGTGGTTTTAAAATCCTTTTAGAGTTTGTTTGCATTTATTAGTAGTATGAAATACACATACAATACAATATACATTTACAGTTTGTGTTTCCTTTTGTCTTTTTCACGGCACTCAGTTCCATTAGCTACCCCCACCTCCACCCTGTTCCCCTTGCTTGGGACATTATGTGACTTGGTAAAGGTTATTTTCAATATCCGGCTGCTGCTCGAACCTCAGTGTTGCATTAGTCACAAGCACTGTGCCTTTGGACTATAAGACAAAATGTACTATCCTCAGATGTGAATGTGACAGCAAACTCCTTCCATGGAAGGTTAATATGCATCCACTTAGTGCCTTGAGTTTGGCTAGGCCTCGAGGAGCGTTGGCTAACTGGCACCCAACCACCCAATTCCAAGTGCGATCCAGAGGTGTCCACAGCTTAGAAGCTGATTGGCACACCTACCATCTAGGGCTGAAAGAAGTTAGAAAGCACGAGTATTAATGAAGTCACCTAAAATCATTCATGTGATAATTTCTCACCTAAATATAATTTATTAGAAAATCATTTATTAGAAATTGAATTGAAAATCTTTATTTAAAAAATTAATTGGATTTGGCCGGGCGGTGGTGGCGCACGCCTTTAATCCCAGCACTCGGGAGGCAGAGCCAGGTGGATCGCTGTGAGTTCGAGACAAGCCTGGGCTACCAAGTGAGCTCCAGGAAAGGCGCAAAACTACGCAGAGAAACCCTGTCTCGAAAAACCAAAAATAAATAAATAAATAAATAAATAAATAAAAAATAAAAAATTAATTGGATTTGAATGTTACTCCAAAGAATCTTCTTGTGGTCATGAGAACAAGGGGGAGACAGAGGCAGCTAGACAGAGAGAGAATGAGAATCCACTACAGGAGAAAAAACATTTAACTCAGTTGGTAGATGGTGTTGAAGTGGTTGTCATTGAACAGGCCATGAGTTAACACTGTCCTAATCTTCTCTTCACACTGACCAAGGCCTGGTAACAATTCAAGCCTTGTAAGACACCAGAAGTGAACTTGCAATGCGCATGATTCCTATTTGTAGTGACTTTGTACTTGGTGGAGATTTTGACCATTTATTTCTGGATATGCACAAACTTTGAATCACGAGTCTTTGTCCCTTCTAGTCCACGTTGATATAGGAGAAGCAAAGTTGGATCATTTTAATACTTTTATGGAAGATGCTAAAGATGTTTGTAACATTTAATTTGCATATGGATAAGACAAACTGTCTATATAGTCAGGAGACAGCTGTTAGGCCAAAACACAAAGCTCTTCACTTAAAGGAGAAGCAATATTTTAGTACTGGGTTTTACTACACATCTCTGGAGTATTTCTCACTTAGAGAAATATCACTAATAAGATCATAAGAACCAGTGTTGGAGTATCAGTAGCACATCCTTATTATTAGAGTATTATTATTCATTATTATAATTATTAACATATCTTGGAGAGTTAGGAGTCAGCCAACACACAGAGAGGATCTGAGGCTCTGATTGGTAGTGAGGTCTTTTCCCTGAAGCACCAACAAAGTAACCTATTGCTTGGCTTTCTGTCAGCCTTAATAGAAAATGTAATTATTTTTTTCTTATTCTTAGGCTTTATCTACCAAGAAATGAATTGGATAATCCCCATAAATCAAAAACGTGGAATATTTACCGTTCAAATTTTGCAGTAGAGGTGTATTTTGAAGAGATATCGCCTGCAGTTATAGAGTAGCTGTTGAAGACGTGCTAGTCCCCTTCTTGGATAGAATCATGTTCTTCTCAATCCAAGCTACATATTTATGTCTTCTAACCTATGTCTTTGATGGTATGTCTGCATTATATATATGTGTGTGTGTGTGTACATATCTTTCTGAGAAATATATTAAATGTATACAGGAAAAATAATATCAGTGGTCTTTTTTTTCCTTTGAAGGCATATTAGCAATATGGTCTTTTTGAGAGAGGGTCTCACTATATTGCCCTTGATGGCCTGGAATTCACTGTGTAGGCTAACTCACAGAAATCCACCTGCCTCTGCCTGAAAGCATGTATCACTGTGCCTGGCTCTCTTTGTACTATTTGGAACATACTGTACATAGGAATACTAGGTACCATTTTGAAGAACTTTGAAGCAACCAACCTTTCATGTAAATGTTAGGGACATTAAGTATCATTTTGAAGAACCTTGAAATAACAGATCTTTCCTGTTTAAAAAAAAAAGAGCTATATAGAAATTGGGTGTGTTCCCACAGCACACACGTACTTACAAGTTTCTGAACACATATTTATTTTCTGATTTACGTTTGTAATTTGCCTCTACTTGATTCGTAGATTGATCAGATACATCAGATCAGCAGCAATGCCGTTTGGTGCTCTATTTGGGTATATATTTACCTGCATACTTGTGTCTATGTGTGCCTGTGCATGGGTGTGCATGTGCCATAGTGCACACGTAGCCATCAGAGGACAGCTTGCAGCTTCACATGATAGCTGAATACTAGTTTTCCTGGCTAGAATTTATCATCTTGACATAGAATTATCTAAAGATGCAAAGTGTTTGGGGCAGAAGACTTTTGGGGTATGGTGTTACACACTTGTAATCAGCATTTGGGAGGCTGAGGCAAGAAGGTGGCCTTCAGTTCAAGGCCATCTGTGCTTCATAGCAAATGCCAGGCCAGCCTGAGCTACAGAGACCCAGTCTCAAAGACCCATAAGAAAATTATCCTGGGGCTGGAGAGATGGCTCAGAGGTTAAGAGCACTGGCTGTTCTTCCAAAGGTCCTGAGTTCAATTCCCAGCAACCACGTGGTGGCTCACAACCATCTGTAATGAGATCTGGTGCCCTCTTTTGGCCTGCAGGCATACATGCAGACAAAACACTGTATACATAATAAATAAATAATCTTAAAAAAATATTCAGTCTTTTTTTAAAAAAAGAAAATTATCCTAAACTTAATAGCATGTACTTACGTATTTTTAAAAAGTCATTATTCACAGTGAAGGGCTGAGCAGGGATGGCTCATTTAGTCAAGCACCCACGGAGCAAGCAAGCAAGCGTGAGGACTTGCGATCAGATCTTAGCGCCTGTGTAAGTCACAGCACACATCTGTAACCCCTGCACTGCGGGACCAAAGACAGGCAAATCTCAAAGGCTTGCTGGCTTGCCAGTCTACTCAGGCAGCCAGCTCCAGGCGCAGAAACACCCCCATTTCAAAAAAATCCCTGAGGCAGACTTCGATAGCCCCAGGTAGTTGGCCGGGTTTCCAGCAGCAGGCCTGGTCTCCCTCTTGTTGAGTGGGCCATAAGTCCAACTAGAGAGCCATTGGTTACCACCACAGTAGGTGTGACACTCCTGCACATTAGGGTTATCATGCCATGCAGAAAGCGTTCATCTCGGAGGAGAACCTACGACCACTACTTTGCTCAACCAGCCTGATCTCTAACTACGTTCTAAGCATCTATCGTTATACACAGGCAAGTGCTGGCTTCACCCCTCATGGAGGGGACTTCTCTTTGCAACAGAGACTCTTACAGAAAATCATAACTGATCAGAGTGCAGAGTTGTGGAGCCCAGTCTCAACAGATACACCTACAACACAGCTCCTGCTTCTAAGGCTCAGAGATCATTGCAGAAGAGGGGGCGGAAAAAAATTGTAAGAGCCAGAGCAACAGGCAGTTTGCCATGCGATTGTGTCTCCTAGAAGGTCACAGAAGCTGCTGCGCCCAGGAAGCCTCATCAACATGGCTGCCTAAACAAGACCTGAACAAAAACAACACCAACAGACATGCTATCATGGACATGAGAAAGCTCACCAGGCCTCATTCCTAGACAAAGAACCACAGGAAACTAAGGAAGGCTGAGAGCAGGAGAAATAGTCATCCCCAGGGAAGAGAACACCAATAGGCTATCCAGCGCCAAATGGTCAGCCCTGCAAACATACAAGTAGCAAGATATAGCTATCTCTCTATATGAAGATACATACATATGTACATATGTGTATATATATGTATATGTATGTCAACAAAGAAAAAGAGGCCATGAATTTGAATGAGAAGCAAGGTGAAGGTACATAGTTGGAGGGAGGAAAAGGAAGGTGGAAAATGATGTAATGAGATTATAATATCAAAAAAATTAAAAATTATTTTAAAAAAATAAGGTGGAGAGCAAATAGAGAAAAACAGTCAATATCAACCTCTGGCTGCCACACACATACACGGGTGATTGCATATGCACATACACCACACACATACAGTAAATAGATAAATAACAAATAGCAGCTGTCTTAGTCACTGTTCTTTTACTGTGGCGAGACACCATGACCACAGCAACTCTTATAAAGAAAGCGTTTAATTAGGGGCTGGCTTACAGTTGCAGAGGGCGAGTCCCGTTATCATCATAGCAGGGAGCATGGCGGCATGAAGGCAGACGGGACTCCGGAGCTGAGAGCTTTACATCCCGATCCACAGGCAGCAGGGAGAGACACTGGGCCAGGAATGGGCTTTTGAAACCTCAAAGACCACCCCCAGTGACGCACTTCCTCCAAAACGGCCACTCCTCCTAGTCCTCCAAATAGTTCCACTCCCTGGGGACCAAGCATTCCAATAGGAGCCCTCGGGGGCCGTTCTCATTCCAACCACCACACACGCAGAGGGAGGGAGCGATCTAATGGGGTGTTTCATGACGGCAGAGTACACAAGCAACATTTTCTTTGTCAACTTGCCTACAGTAAAATTATTTTACAACAGGAAATCTTGCTGACAAAAGAATACTTGTTCCAATGCAAACAACACCTAGAAGTTTATTATCCATAAATCTTTAATATTCCTATTGGCCCTTAATAGAAATGTAATGTATCTAAATGAAACTCATCACAGACTCACATTAGGTTTATTTAATAATGATAGAGTACTCATTTCTTTAAACAAAATATCTCAAGTTCTGGCTTTGCCTCAAGTTCAATTGTACCCACACATTAAACCAACAGAAAAATAAAAAATTCTGCTTAGGTCTCCATTTTTCACTTCCCTTGTTTCTCACTATTTCTCTAGAAGGCCACAAATCTTCAAGGGGCAGACTATGAGAAGCCACACAGCCAACAGGGACAATATGAACTAGACCTCAGGCACCAGAAAGGGAGACGACGGCTTGGGCCGGTCCTCTTCCCGCAGGCAACCAACCAATCCTCCGGCGCTCGAAACCAGACCTGTTGAGTTGAAGCAGCACTCAGCAGCCACTGGCCATACAAGGGAGAAAACTAAAGCAGACAGACAGACGGTTCTCCCCTAAAGTGCCAGCCCAGGGATGCTGAGGGGTACCCCTTCCTTTTGGGGAGCACTATGCTTTCCCGACCTTGTGTTGCTGGCATTGTGGCAAGAGGGCATGAATAAGGTCAGCCGACTTCCTTCAGCTTTGTAGGCAGAGGAGGAACAAAGCCTACTGTCAGCCCCTCTGGTCTTGGACGTACAGCAGACAATAAGATGTTGGTTGCTACATATTCCCTAGTTTAATAAAAATGTTCTTACTATGTCACGGTGCTTTCCCAATTTACACACCACCTACAGTCATTAAAATACACAGACCAGGGGTTGGGGATTTTAGCTCAGTGGTAGAGCGCTTGCCTAGCAAGCACAAGGCCCTGGGGTCGGTCCTCAGCTCTGGAAAAAAAAAAAAATTCACAGACCGCCAGCTCCAAATGTAGAGGCAAATCAAGGAGTTATGGGCCCCAGGGCGAACTTCAGGAGGGTGAGCCCTGATATACTTATGCTGAGGTGCCTAATTAGTGAGCTCCTTCGGCCTTCTCCGTGACTAGCAGGGAGCCCAGACTTCGTCTCCGACCCCTTAAGGGCCTCTGATTGGTGGAGGCAGAGAGACACTGGGTTCAGAGTGGTTCCATATCCAGGACCAGAAGAGCACCCTGGGTTCCTGCTGAGACCAGGTAAGAGCCACTGTCAGTTTTCATGAGAGCATGGCAGGGCAGCCGCTTGTCGATCATGAATCTAGCACGAGGGGAGGAAGCTCTTTGAGTCAGAAGGGAAGCTGGTGGGTACTCTGCTGCCCTACAGAGCACTAACACTCCAGGCCACTCCTACCAACCCCAGAGTGCAAAAGAACCAGCCCACCTAGAAAATGAATGGCACTGTTGAGCAGCATGGGAAAAACAAAGCCAGGATATCCATCCTGAAATTTCATCAAGAATGTAGAAGCCACACAAGTACGCATAGAAGTTTATCTAAAAATATAGATAGGTGTTTTAGCTTTAATGTACCCCAAAAGTTAAAAACTTTAACCCCTTAGTGCACAGGCTCAGCAGCCTTTGGCCCTACGTCTAGGATGGGTTAGGCAGTCATTTACAACCATCTGCAAAGACATTGGTCACCACTTACAACTAGACGTGGGAACAAACGTGTTTTCCTCAACTTAGGGCCCTCTAAATTGCATGTGTAGCCCTGGCTTCCGCAGAAGTTCTGTCCTGGGAGGAAGGCAGTCTGTGTAAGGCCACCAGCAGCCACCAAGTCTAAGACTCTGAGCAGAAGAAGGGAAGACGAGGACAAATGTCCCAATTCATCAAATAATCCCACATTGTTCTTGTAACTCCGTGAAACCCTGAGTTAACAACGGTCACTAAACTAAAGGCTGCCTGGCATCCAGGACACTTCAGTAGGCTTCAAATTGGCTCATCATCAACTTCCTGCTGTACTCATAGGCCAAAAACAGCGCCGCGTTGGCGGGGAAGGCTCGGATCATAGTAGGTTTCAGTCCAGAATACAAGGCCGTTATTCCTGCAAGACAGAAAGGCAATCCAAGACTGTGACAGCGATTACTTGAGGTCACACGTGCAGCTGCACAGGAGAGATCACCCGTGCCCACACACTCAGACACAGTACGAAAGCCCTTGTGATGAATGAAGGCTTGCTCTCAGGTTCCCCTCAACAGACAGCAGGAACAGGGTAAGTGGCAAGCCCCCGGCAAAGCCGACTGATGCTCAAATAACAAAGGAAATGCTATGCCTGGAGGATTCAGGCAGTATGGACAGGGCAGAGCTGAGGGCTAACCTGGCCAGGTGGAGGCAAGTGAAGAGCCAGCCAGAGGGGCCAGCAGGAAGAGATGTATTCACCCTGCTCAGCATGGTCTTGGGGGAGACCTAGATGACACCGACTGAACGAGGGTGTGCCCGGCCAACCTGGAGAAGGCATGCAGGATCGGTAATACAAAGAAACCTGCATTCCGTTTGAGTTATGAATTAAACATGTCCCTGGGTCAATGTACTCTCTTTAGAGCCAACGCACAAGTTCATAATCCAAGGTACTTTCTGTTTTGTTTTGATAATGACGTTTTTGACCTCATCTATTTCGCTTTTTAAATTATTTTATTTATTTATTTTTAAAGATTTATTTATCTCATGTATATGGTGGTCTAGCCACACATACCCATTCATGCCAGAAGAGGGCATCAGGTCCCATTATATATGGCTGTGAGCCATCATGTGATACTGGGAACTGAACTCAGGACTTCTGGAAGAGCAGCCAAAGCTCTCTTAACCGCTGAGTCATCTCTCCACCTGAATTATTTTATTTTTTTAGATTATAATTATAAATCTAATTTACCTCTTCCCCTTCTTCCGTTCAAGCCTTCCCATAACCCTAGTTTTAAGATGCCTGTAAGGTGGATGCTAGAAAGACCGGTCTTTGGGTTGATGTCATACAAACATGACTTTAAAAGTCTGTATCCTACATAACTCTAAAACCTGACAGCAAATCATCTCTACAGACTGCTCAGATCATTTCTCATTCCAGAGGTCTTATTGCTAAAGATGTAGTATTACATTCTTTTAACTGTACCGTAATAAGAATATAATATATCCAATATATTCTTTTAACGCCTTAGTGGTCCTGGTAGAGGTCTTTTCATATTTGGATTATGTAAATGAGGTGATGCTACTCGCTTCAAAACATTCTTCCCTCTAGACAATTCTGTATCTTAAAAACATCCCCAAGGTCTTTAGAATACAAAGAATCCTGCCAGGTACCTGGCCTGGAAGTTAGGAAAAAGAACTTTAAACGTTTTTGAGAACCATGAAAATAAGATAAAGCAAACAGTTTGGAAATAGAAAGTCAGTCTTAGGAGAAGGTCCTGAGGCAGGGAGATAAGAGCAGTCACGGGGCTAATTAACCCTAGATGGATCCATTTCACAGAGATAATCACTGTGGACACACCCCAGTCTCTGCCCAAATTAACCCTAGATGGATCCATTTCAGAGATAATCACTGTGAACATACCCCAGTCTCTGCCCAAATTAACCCTAGATGGATCCATTTCACAGAGATAATCACTGTGAACATACCCCCAGTCTCTCTCTGCCCACATCAGCCTTACCTTCGTTCTTCACGATACTCAGAAAAGTTCTGACTAGTCCTGTCTGTTTGCCACTCATAGAAAGAACTTGGATTCTAGATTTGATACAATCCACTGGATACACAGCCAGCCACAGGCAAATTCCACCAAATCCACCACTTAGCATCAGTGGGACTGGACCTAGGGAAGGAAAGCAGCCAGGGGCACTTTGTTTTAGGTGGCGTTTCCAGAAGCGCATGGAACAGTCAACTCCTTGAAAAATGTTCAAGGCTCTGGCTAAGAAGTCGGATTATCCCTGGGCCTCATCAAGACCAGCTGGTCACTCAGGTACTGAGTCCCCATCCCAGCCTCATCCTCCAGTTGGGGTTGACCCACCCACAGCCAACAGGTCTCACATCACGGGGAATAAGAAAACAGCCACTGAAATACAGTCCATGTCTTTCTCAACTTTAACCCCCAATAGCCCTAATCTCCCTCCTCAGGAAAGGGAAAAAACAATCTATGTACTGTTCTCAAAACACCACGATTTGTTATCACATTTGAGAAATGTACTCTATTAGACAGGTGCAACAAGGATTGTTTCCATTTATGACACTGATAAGCACTGACCAATTTCCTCATTACCGGCCCACCTTACGCTCAGAGCTAGGGTTTTCAAGGCAGAGATAGAACTCTGGGTGGAGATGTGATACTTAGGTATGCAACTTAAAAGCAGAAATGTATTTTAGGCTGCCCAACCAGTACATCAAACGAGACTGATCTCATCAATGGTCCGTGCCACATGGTTGTCGTTAGTTCTGTTTTTGTCTTGAAACAGCCTTAACATCTGATACAGTAGTTCTCAAGCAAGGCTGCCTTGGTCTCCCCAGGGAACACTGACAAGTTCTGAAGCTATGTTATTCAGTTTGTTTTTATTCCTCCTTGGAGGGAGGTTGCTATCTGTAGTGGGGAAAATGGCCAGGGATGCGATTGAACATCTTGCATGTATAGGGCACCCCACAACAGCTTGAGAAACCCTGTTAATTAAATGCCTAAATAGCAGATCTATCAGGAAGTACTAATTTAATGGATAATGAATAAACAATGTTTGGAGAACAAACTTATTTGTGATTTGATGTCAGAGACAGGGGCTTGGCAGACAATCTTACTTTGTAACTGCAATGACAGGCAATTAACCAATTAAAAAAAAGCTTTGAGAGCTTATTGTGAGATTGTTGATAGTTGATTTCTCCATCAGGAAAATAATCTCTATTTCCTCCTCTAATGGAGGCAGAACAGTTAGTACTACCCAGAAGAAGAGACAGCTCTAACAATGCTAATGTGGCCAAGAAGTTTGAGATATAAGACTTGAGAGCTTGTCTTCAGGAAACTTCCCTCAGGGGACGGTGCTAGCCAACACCCACTGCCATTTTACTTCCTGGCACCCAGAAACTCCCCAGTGCTGGGTGGACTCCCAGCACACTGAACACAGAACCTGTGGAAACCAGGAAACCCAGGAGGCTGACTCTACTAACCCCAAATGTTGTCAATGGGAGTACATTTACCTAGTTCATCTTTTGATTTCCCTGATGCGAAAAAGGATCTGCTCAGTTCATAGCCACCGAAGAATAAGAAGTAGCCTGGTACTTCCCGAAGTAAAGTGCTTGAGAGTCCGTGGTAGAAGCCCAAGGGGCCGTCCGTCCTAAAGATTTCTTTCACCACTGACCAAACTGTGCTGGGGGAGACAAAGCAGGAGGCAGAGTCAGTGAGGGTGTGTGCACGCAGTGAGATTTTTGTACCAAGGACGGCTTAGGTGACCAGCTTTCCTATAACTGGGTTTTCCTGTGCCCACCCCTCAAGTCGTGTGCTGAGAACCTAACCACTAATGTGTAACAGCATTGAAAACCAGGGCTCTTAAGAGGCAGTCAGGAATGGATGGGTTCCTGAGGACGAGACCTTCTTCATCACGAGATCTGTGGCCTATAATCTTCCTCTCGTTGCCAGGTAAGGACAGTGACAAACCATGTCTGAACCAGGGCTTGAGCCTGGTGGCACCTTCATTTCTGACTTGGCAGCCTCCAGAAGAAGAAAGCACACCTGTTACTCTTAGACTTAGTGGGACCTCTGTTTACCCAACCAGCTACTTCCTTACCTGTGCCTAAGCGGGCCTGCTCACTACTATAAGTTACATTGTCTGAGATGTAAAAGGGTTAGCGCCGGTCTTTTCAACAGTGACTACGTAAAAATGAATTACAATAACGAGCCATCCAGGGCTGGCCATAGATAAACAATACTATACTTGCTCCCGTGCCTTGCCCCTTGGAGCCCCATCTCTTCCAGCTCGTGGGTGTATTAGTTACTTGTTGTAATAAAACACCAGGCAAAAACACCCTAATAGTTGGGGTCATCCAAGGACTGAGGAATCTGGATGCAGACATCCACGGCTAGGCCCCGGGTGGAGTGCTGGGAGTCTAATTAGTGAGAAAGAGGAGGGTTTATATGAGCGAGAATTGTTGAAACCAAGGTTGGATAAAGCACAGGGACAAATAGCCAAATGAATGGAAACACATGAACTATGAACCAAAGGCTGAGGGGCCCCCAACTGGATCAGGCCTTCTAAATAGGTGAGACAGTTGATTGGCTTGATCTGTTTGGGAGGCATCCAGGCAGTGGTACCTGGTCCTGGGCTCATTGCATGAGTTGGCTGTTTGAAATCTGGGGCTTGTGCAGGGACGCCTGGCTCAATCTGGGAGGAGGGGACTGGACCTGCCTGGACTGAGTCTATCAGGTCGATCCCAGTCCTCGGGGGAGACCCTGATCTGGAGGATGTGGGAATGGGGGGTGTGCTGGGGGGAAGGGGAAGGGGGCAGGAAGGGAGAGAACAAGGGAATCTGTGGCTATTATATAGAACTGAATAGTATTGTAAAATAAAATTAAAAAAAAAAAAAAAAACCAGGCAAGGTGCAAACTGGAGGGAGAAAGGACTTGGTTTGGGCTCACAGTTCGGGGGTACAGTCCATGGTGGGGGCACGGTAGTGCGGCAGGAGCCCAGGGCAGCTGATCACACTGCATCTGCAGTCAGGCAGCAGACAGCAAGGACTGCTGGGTGCTGGGTGCTCAGCAGACTCTTCCTGTTGCGCAGTCTAGGGCCCAGGCTCAGGTAATGGCGCCACCTCTTTTGTACGTGAGTCTTCCTACCTCAGTCGACTGAACAAAGAGAGCCCCTCACAGGTGTGCCCAGATGCTGACCTCCTAGGTGAATCTAGATTCTATCACGTTGACGGCCAACAGTGGCCGTCACCGTGTGTTTAGGATAATGTGTTCAGGTGGTCCAGAAGGATGAGCGTCACTTGAAGGCAAGACAAGGAACTCTGAGGGTTGGGCTCTAGCCCTTGGGATTGGAGGAACACCCAGGAACTGAGTCTCTCCAGCGGAAGGGATACAGAGAAGTCCCTTTTGCAGATGAGCCCTGCTCCCGGAGCAGCTTCAGGGCCAGACACCCCGACCGCCATCTCCACCACAGTGCGCCCTGTGGTAGGTTGTCTATACGCTGAGACCAAGCTGAATGCCACATGCTCGGTGTAACTACCGAATTGCTTACTTTGTTCTTAGGGAGCCGGAGAGACGTCACATCGACTCCCCGAGTGACAGAGGCCATAAGCCACCACCTTCCTGCTGAGAGCTCTGTTCCCACCACACATGTGAACATGCTAAGTGACCCCAACTCAGCACTGAGCTGCAGTGAGTCTGCATCCAAGCCTGTGTGTGGTGGTGTCAACGGTCTGTTTCTTACTCTAGGCCCTGGTTACAAAGGCCCATTCACTTCGTGACTGTTTCTAGAACTGCCCGCTTATGATCTGTATGTATTCACAGTACTGTGGGTTCTAGTTCAGAAATAACCCTTTAAAGCAGTTGTTCTCAACCTTCCTGATGCTGCGACCCTTTAATACAGTCCACGTTGTGGTGATCCCCAACCATAAAGTTATTTCATTACTACCTCATAACTGTAATTTTGCTACTATTATGAATTGGAATGTAAATATCTGATATGCAGAATATCTGATATGGGACCCTTGTGAAAGGGTCATTCAACCTCTAGGGGTTATGACCCTCAGGTTGAGAACCACTGTTTTAAAGCATTATATTGTTAGACTCCGAGGCCATGAATAGCAGGGGAGGAAACTGACTACTGGTCAATTTGTTGACTGGTTCCCCAGAAGATTTACAGACCTTGGGTGATGGCAACACCCTTGACCAGATCTTCAACCAGCCACATGTCAAGATAAATAGGCACATTTTGTGATTAATAAGGATAATAGACAGTTTTTTCATTCTAGACACATGTGGCATTTATAGCCTCACAGCAGTGGACAGGCAGCTGCTTTCGTGTCTAAGCTGATCAGTGACAGGACCAGAAAGCAGCTCTACTTACAAAGGTTTCTGATGCATGTTTTCAGAACTTGGACCCTTACCAAGGACAGGTGATGATTTGGGAAGGGTGGGAGTTGCCACTAAATTGTGGTGATAAGCCTGAACACCCATGTGAAAGGGCATGAAACACTCACCTCAATCTAAATCCACACTCAGCTCAGCCCTCAGACCCAGTTCAAAGCTGTCTCCCAAATATGGCTGAAGATCATGCCTTATGCACCCCAGAGGACAAAGGGGACATTCAGCTCCTTGGTGACTCCATTTCTGGACTATTAAATAGCTGCCTAAGCTAGGGTAGGTAGTGAGTCCAAACATAATAAAAAGTCTTCTCAGAAAATCCCCTGACACAGTATTTTAGACTTAGGGAAAGCTGTTTTTACACTTGGCACTCAATTTTAACAATAAAATGAAAACACAGTGCACCAAGATGAAAAAACCTAACCCCTGTGAATAAACAGGGCTTACTTCTGGCTCGCAGCTATCTTTCCTGAAGATTCCATTTCATACATGGTCTGGAGCCGGCACTTGACAAGCTCTGTGGGGCAGAGGACCAGCGCGGCGAAGGCGGAGGCGAAGGAGCCAGCAGTTGCGTTCTGGAGGTCACTGAAAGGACAGAGGATCGACCATCAGCTCGTGTGTCCCTTCGGCACGCGCCACACAGAGAGAACACGGGGATGAGAGAGGGACTTCTTCTACATGCGCTTCCCATCTAAGAGTCCTGAGACCCTGTAGCGGATTGCAGTCCTCCAGCTCCACGAGGAATGGCACTGAGAGGTCATACATGTTCCCAAAGCCACACATCTAGAGAGCGGCATGCTGGGAATCAAACCCAGGTCTGCCTGACGGCTAGCTACATCCATGCTTATGTCCCCCTCCCCTCAAGTCGTGTGTTGAGAACCTAACCACCGAGGTGTAACAGCGTTGAAAGCCAGGGCTCTTAAGAGGCAATCAGGAATGGATCGGTTCCTAAAGATGAGACCTTCTTCATCACGAGATCCGTGGCCTATAATCTTGCTCTCGCTGCCAGGTGAGGACAATGACAAACCATGTCTGAACCAGGGCTTGAGCCTGGTGGCACCTTCATTTCTGACTTGGCAGCCTCCAGAAGAAGAAATGTTTGTTGAAGCTTCCTAATGGATGGCATTTTTTTAGTAGCCCAAGCTAAGGCACATAAAGAAAAAAGGAGGGACCATAAGAAAGAGGGGGAAATCACTTACAATCCTACTTCCCCAAATACAGTCTATTAATACCTTAGTATATTTGTGACAATATTCCTTCTGGCACCAAATCCAACCTGAAGTAACCAGACATGGAATCTAACCACTACAGATAAAAACCAGTCTAGGTTTTTGTGATCACACAACGATTTCCCAATTTAGCTATGACCTCTGTTAAGATCTGATATGGTTTGCATATGTGACCCAACAGCTTGGGTGATGGAAGCTTGACCCTTTGTTGTGCAAGTGATGGGACATTTAAGAGGTAGGGCCCGCCCATGGGAACCCCCAAACATCACAGGTCATTACCATCGTTATTGGTCACTCTCCACAACCTGAGGGTAAAGCCCCACGGCTGAAGACAACCCTTACATACGTCATCAAACACAGAGCAGTCAAGCTGGTGCCTGACTAGAACCTTCACCTCTACTGACGAGCATTCATGGTCCTGGAAGGTACTCCGCATGCTCCTAGAGTCATCAACAGCAACCTGCTACAAACCCTGCGACCTACAACAGTGACCCGACTGCAAGATATACTGCTGCAATAACAGCACAAATATTATGGAGATAACCAACCACTCTCTGATTGGACTTAAGGCCTCTACTCCATGAGTCGGAACCTATACTTGACATGGCGAATGTGGCCAAGAACTGGACACTAGATAGGCCATTAGCTTAGAGGAAAACCTAAAGCTGTAATTCTACTAAAGGAACTTAGTAATAAAATGATCCCTAATGGCATATTCATCAGGAACATTCACGGACCAGTGCCTCTCTCAGCCTTCATCAGAGAAGCTTCTTGCGGTAGATGGGAAACTAACACTGAGACTCACAACTGGACAATGTGCAGAGAGTGAGAGACTTTGGAGCGCGCAGCCTGAAATGGGATGTTTTCATCAAACCCCTCCCCTTCGGAGCTCAGGATCTATGTGGAAGAGGAGATGGGAAGGCTGTGAGAGCCAGAGAGGATGGAGGACTCCAAGGAAGCAGCATCTTCCAGACACAACAGGACTGATGTCCATATGAACGCAGAGACTATGGCAGCATGCCATAAGACTTACACAGCCAGATGGGGTCCCGGCACTGGGAAGAGAGAAATGGACACAGGCGCCCACCCCTAACCAGCTACCTAAAACTGATACCTGGCAGCAGAGGAAAAATTAGTTTTCTCCGGGGGAGTCTCACTGGGTATATTCACACTTCCCTGAAGTAACTGGATAACACAAAATGAATGTAGTGGCATTTTTTTGTAGACTTTTTGTTTCCGTTTGCATTGTGCATTTTTTTTTTTTGTCTCACTGGTCTTTGCATTTCTTGTTTTATTTGTTGTTGTTTTGTTTTTGTTTGCTTTAGAGGGGGGAGGAAAAGAAAATGAAGTCTGGGTAAAGAGGTAGGGAGGATCTGGGAAAAACTGAGAGAGGGAAAAAACATGATCGAAATACATTGTATGGAAAAAAATGTTTCAGCTGGGCAGTGGTGGCACATGCCTTTAATCCCAGTACTTGGGAGGCAGAGGCGGGCAGATCTCTGTGAGTTCGAGGCCAGCCTGGGCTACAGAGTAGGTTCTAGGACAGCCAAGGCTACACAGAGAAACCCTGTCTCAAAAAACCAAAAAAAAAAAAAAAAAAGTTTCAATTATAAAAAAAAAAGTGGGTCCTAGGATGCTGCCATCCTTGTGGGGTGATGGTGACAGACACCAATACAGCTCTCACAGGACTGCACTAACAAGAACTACTTCCTGCAGTAGCTGGGGACCTCTCCTCACACATTTCCATCATGATTCCATCTGCAATGCCATCACACAGCCAGAAGACACTCTAGAAGAACCAGGCAGATGCCAACCCCAGCCCTAAGCTCTTGTACCCCCCAGGTTACTGTAAGCTAAATAAGCTTCTCTTGCTTCCAGCTTTGGCCTTGGTTTTCGGCAGCCTCGCCTCTGCATCAGACAGCAGCTGCTGTCTGCAGGCCGAGCTGGTCTCTCGAACATCCGGGACTCAGCAGAGCAGGCTTATCATGCATGGGGGCTCTCTGAAGCAGGACTGTTTGCTGGATGGACTTCCTTTTGACCTTAGAGAATTAAGCCTACCACCGTGAACTAAGACGGGCCAAGCAGGCATACCAACATCCTTGAGTGTGGAGCAAGTGTCTTGCTCTGTTTGGTTCACGCCTTCCCACCACTCCTTAGCTCATCTGTTAAAAGCCAAAGCTTCCAACGGTCTCCTGGCCAGCCCGCAGACCATACTTGGCCTGCCTCAGGGACTCTATCAACCCGCTGACAGGCAACTGTCCTTGGGGGCCATTACCTAGAATGTATCAAGTTTGTTCGAACAAAGGTATCGGTCAATAAACATGGATGCCAACTCAACCTCAGGTGTTGGGAGGGTTCCAGAATCTGAATGAACATAAAACACCCTGAGAGTACAAGGGAGAAGCCAAGTCAGCACTTCCACGGACTTTGACTTCCTCCTAAGTACTTTCCAGGGCATACAACAGGCACACAGACCTTCAGCTCTCCATGTAGGATGAACGTGCACGGCTGGAATTGAAAGTGCCCAGAGTGTAGGATGGGGTTTTCTAAGAAGCCACTGTAGACTCTTCCTCTCATTTTGCTCTGTTGGGGTTAGTTTTGCCTTGCTGGTCTCTTTGTTCATGTTGATTTATGTTTTTGTATGTATGTGTGCTTCTTGTTTTATTACTTTGTCTTAAAAAGATAAAAAGAACATAAAGTTGGTAGGGAGGTACGGAGGATCTAGAAAATGGGGGTGGGGGAGTGGGAAATATGATCAAAATATATTGTATGAAACTTTTCAAAAAAAGAAAGACTCTACTGTTTGATCTAAATGCCTCTGCTGTGTAAGATCTCATTCAACCAAAGGTCAAAGGGCAACGCCACACGAGGTTCAAGCCAGGACACACAAATATTTGTGATGCGGTTGCAGAACTCCATAGCAATGCTTGCTTCAACTGTTTCCCTTTGCCACTCTTGATAAACGCCCTCTCTAGATCTGACCAGTATCCTTGCTGGTCTAACAGACAGAGGACTGGGCAGAAGGGGGACAGTGGGCTCAGATGACACTGTCCTTGGTCCAGCAACCGTGACTATTTCTCCATCCGAAAGACGGAAAGGACATCCCCTCCACATGGTCATGGTGAGGGCCATAAAGACACAACCTACGTGTCAGAGTACAGCAGACTGTAGGCACTGTTTGCCCAGCAAGTAAAAAGCAAAGTGTCTCCTAAGACTGAAAAGGGGAAGACTCTGAGCTCAGCAAAGATTCTAGTGCTGTGTTAGAGCAAGTGAACCAGGCTGATGTCCGTACTGAAGAACTTGTGTAGTGAGAAGCTACATACTGTGGGTATCACACGAAATAAACATGCTCAAAACTCCACACAAGGAACACAGTGAGGCATTCATTCTCCAACCCTTTCTCGGCAACCCCAACCCTTGCTTCTGGAGAGGGTGTGGAGGCACAGAGCTGTAAAGCATCCTACTGGCCATCCTCAGAAAAGACTATGTGAACGTAGTAATGCGCACCCAGCATCCCTGTGGTGGAGGCTGAGGCAGGGTGATGGTGACTTTCAGGCCAGTCCAGGCTACACAGTGGGACCATGTCTCAAATAAAACACAGAGGAGGAAAGGCACTGTGCTCAAACCAGTCTCTGTTCATAGGCGAAGACGCAGGGGAAGTGAGGAGGGACACGCGGGGCCAGAATCCCAGGAGTGTGGTCCCATCACCATCTCTTTGGTTACTTTGCCCAGAGGGGAGCAAAGGGTCTTTCTCCTCCCAGAACCTTCCCGGGGTACCCACTGCCGCTCTGGCTCCTCTCCCATGTTGTCCATCACTAACGAAGCTGAAGGAGGTAAACCCAGATGTCCTGAAATAGAATGTCTCTCCTTCAGCTAGAGAAAGCCAGCAGTCTAGTGCTTTGCTTCTGTCTGCTTTCCCTGCGGGATGCTAATCTCGTGGCCCTCTGCTTCCGTCTCCTGGGCTCTGCTTCCTGCCCCCCCCCCCACCGCAGCTGGAGGGCTGGAGGATCATGCTCAGCCCTTGTCTTGGATGTCCCTAGCTTTTCAACACAAGTTCTGCCGTCAAGATGAAGTTCTTGCCTATGAAATAGCGCATCTGAATCTTGTAGATGTCTCCAGAACACACCTCCGTGTCCAAGGAGTCTACTTCAGTTGTGTCAACCTGTGGCTGCAATAGAGGCTCCAGTTGATACTGACACAGCCTACAAGCCTCTGCCCTTTGCAAATATAAACGATATGTGAGTGTGTGTGTGTGTGTGTGTGTGTGTGTGTGTGAGTGTGAGTGTGTGTGTGTGTGTGTGTGTGTGTGTGTGTGTGTATAAAAATGACATATAATGATTTTATTGTGTGCATATGTATGTATGGAGGTGTGTATGTGTGTATGTGTTTCTCAGGAGCTATACCTGTCTTTTGAGAAAGGATCTCTCTCTGGGACTTGCGGCCTTAGATCTCCTTCTGCTTCTGCCTTCCCAACACTGGGATTCTAAGCACACACCATGTCCAGCTTTTTATGTGGGTGGTAAGGATCTACCTTAGCGCCTTGTAAGCATTTTAGTAATTAAGCTTTTTCCCCAGCCCTTCCCCCAATATAAATTTTAAATCATTTCAAATAAATCAACGTTTGAAGGAGGGATGACTAAGCATCCCAGTGGTTTATGAATTGTCTGGTCTCTGGATATAGGAGCCTAGGGAAGATGCAGCACAAATGAAGTCTGATGTATAGGGAGGGTTCAGCCCAAGAAAGCTGGGTCCATCTACAGCTTCCTAAATTCCACGTTTCTTGTCTAGCATCGCCCAGGTTCCCTTTCAATACTCGCCACTGATGAAAGGGAACCTAAAACTTACGTCCCATGTTCTACAGATGTAGCCCAAACATCTGTTCATGCGGAAAGCCTCTTCCCATAGGGACCAAACACACAGTGGACTCTTAACATGATGCCTTTGGCCTTCTCTGGTTCACGCCATGACAGTGTAGAACATCAGAGTCATTTTTAAAAAGGAAACTTCTTTCCTACACATGTCATTGAAATCAAGTGTTCACTTATTTAAGAAACAACGGAGCGTCGGTGACTCACCTCAGTTTTGCCTGATTGTCCAATCCAACCACTTTGCGGACCACCTGCTGGCAGAAGCCGTAACACATGAAGAGCACCGAGTTCTCTGCGATATTGGCAATCAGTGCGGGGCTGGTGCCCTTGTAGAAGCCACGGAAGCCCACCTGGGAGTAGGTCTTCAGGCAGCAGTCGGTGAGGCCCCGGTAGAGGTCTGGGAAAGTCTGCATCTTCACCTTCATCGTGTCGAAGGGCTGCCCAGTCAGGACACATGCTGTGCCCCCTAGAGGGAGGACGTGAGTCTTTAGAATGAGTCTACAGCCATGGACAAGAAGGAAGGTAGCTTGCTGTCCATGGTTTAGCGGTATTTTTGTTCCTAATAACTGACTGCCCCCCCCACCCCCAAATCGTCTAGCCAAGTTCAGTACAACTTCTGGCAGGTGCCCCTGCTGGTCAGCACCAGAGGCCAATCCTAAAGAGACTCATGTGTACAGGGGAGATGTTTGGTTTCTCCATTCCAATGTTTGGGGGAGGCTGGGACTCAGTTTTACCATGCCATCCAGACAGTAGATACCCCTATGAGCCTCTGTTCTTCATCTACACCATCTGATAGTGTCAACTTGGCACAAACCTGGCAGGCTTGGCGCAAACCTGGCAGACAAGTAGTTACTAAACAACAGCCACTATAGACATGAGAGAGAAGCCAAGTGCCAGATAAGGAAAACAAGAAGCCTGCTAATTAATCTCTTGAGGGCAAAACATTGGACCCTGAAAAAAAACACTAGAATTTTTAACTCTATCAATTAATGACTTGTACTTAGTTAGGGAACAGACTACCTTTGCTTATATAAATGGACTGAAGTCTGCCTTGTAATTGTTTCCACACTATAAGAATACTAAATGTACTAAGTCTACATTGCATTAGACTCCTTCAGTGAGAGTTCTGAACACAGGGATAAGAACAAACTGTGATTGCCCCATAACATCTGTAGACCCTGGACTAGGACCAAAGTTTTAGGACATGCCGTTGGTTAATATTTACCTCCCTCATGAGGTCGAGAAGGCCCCATATTTCAGATCCCCCTGCTTAGGTCAGGAAACAGCAGCTATCTGATGAGGCCACTAAAATGCTATCAAAATGGAAGGCTTACACAACATATTTAAGAAATGCAATTTTGTTTTGTTTTTGTTTTTCAAGACAGGGTTTCTCTGTGTATCCCTGGCTGTCCTGGAACTCACTGTGTAGACCACACTGGCCTCAAACTCAAGAGATCCACTTGCCTCTGCCTCCCGAGTGCTGGGATTAAAGGTATGCACCACCACTGCCTGGCTTAAGAAATGCAATTTTACAACTCAGATATTATTCATGGTTATTCCACCTGTGCTGTGGGAAATAGAGATGGAGGACACTGAGGATGTCATCATAAAATTCATTTATTTACTAATAGACAAGGTGTTACTTCCAAGGAGTCTGAGAATGACTTGACCTATTAAAGAAAGCAATTTCTGAGATTTTCTTGCTATTGTCTGCTTCTTCCAGGAGAGTAACAGGATAGCTTCACCTGATTATCTCTGAATCACTGGACTATCATTTACCAAGATGTTAGAGCAGAATGGGTGGTGCGGACCTGTAATCCCCATACTCAGGAGTCGGAAGCAGGAGGACTCCAAGTCCCAGGCTAGCCCACGCTAGTGAGACTAAAGCGAAAACAACCACAAGTCGAGATGATGCTCCTATCCTCAGAACTAGTCTCTCCTACACACTGCTGGGCTAGGGATGTGTCCCACACACAGCAAAACAATTTAATTATTCCAAAGAATCGGTGACTGTTAGGACTTTCAGGGTGCACCTTTTGGATAAACTGAGTAAAGCCTGTAGTTCAGCACATTAACATTTGAACTGAAGTATTTGCATGTTAACTCTCTCAGCCTGAATGTGCAGACAGATAGCACTTATTGCTGGTTATGTGATGAATATAATGGAGTAAAAGCTTCATTCCCTCATGAAAGAGGAGCTAAATCCCAATAGTGTGTATGACAGGACTCAGTCCAATGCCTACCCCCAGCTCCAGCCAGCAAAGCCCAGTGCCAAGGCAGCTCTCCGATTTATACATCAGTAATACCAATATTGAAGGGTTCCTCCACCTGCATACAAGTTATATTTCAGATTATTCTCTTCTCCTTGAAGGACAAATGAATAGCCTCATCTTCTTGAGAGGATACCACAGGCAATTCGCTCTTCAGGAGAGGTACCGAGACCAGATCATACACAACATTTAATGAATAGTCACTGTGATGGGTGATTCTCACTGTCGGTTTGACCGCTTTGAGAGGCCTCTAAGAGACCAATAAGGCAGACCTCTGGTTTGCTTGTGAATTCCAGAGTGCATTAACTAAGGAAGAAAGACCCACTCTGAAGCACCAGGGGCTGGTGTCCAGACGTAATACAAATGGTGGAAATCGGGAAGAAAAAGGGCAAAGCAGACCTCTCTTCTCTTCTCTTCTCTTCTCTTCTCTCTCTCTCTCTCTCTCTCTCTCTCTCTCTCTCTCTCTCTGAGTGCGGGGGTGTGTATAATATAGATAAGTATGCTTTCTGGCTGCCATGATGTGAGCTTCTCTGGTCTTCCATCCCTTCCCACCAGGGTGGAATAAAACCTCTGAAATTCTGGGCCAAAATAAACCCCCTCCCTTAGGCTGAGTGACAGTCTGGATCTTTTTTTGTTTTTGTTTTTGTTTTTTTGTTTTTGTTTTTGTTTTTCAAGACAGGGTTTCTCTGTGTGACAGTCCTGGCGGCCCTGGAACTCAACTCTGTAGACGAGGCTGGCCTCGAACTCACTCTTTGGACATTTTATCATAGCAACAAAGAGTCTGTCCAACAGTGTCATGCACGGACTGTCAGCTTTCTATACACAAGCAGCAAATCACAAGTCACTGAGGCCCTTTATCGGGGACGGGACAACTTACAACAGGACAAACAGGGAGACCTCAAACCCCCAGTCAGCAGCAGTGCCACTTTCCGGGACTGGGAAGCAGGACATTTTCAAGACATCCCTTCAAAATGGTTTTTGGGGTGCTTGTCATTTTGACACTGAGAAGGTAAACTTCAGGGCTGTGAAATTCCTCCTTCCCAGCCAGTGTGCCAGATAATGAGATACACCTCAAGAACTGCCCGGGACTGTTTTTCCCTGGTGTAAGGGGGATACTAAACTAACTCAACCCACACCTCTGAAAGTCAGCTTTCGGGGTGCACACTGCCTTGGTTTGGTAACTACCCAATACCCTAACTCTGTTTCAGCTCTCACCCTAGCTGCCCACGGAGCCTTCCCTGGGACCTCTCCCTACAGCGAGTGCTGGTCAGGACAAAGACAACTTTAACAGCCATGAGCTGGCTGGGAAACATGTCTGGTAGGAGCGGCTTGGCTTCGAATCAACAGGAGACAAGGAGTTTATTTACATCCACATCCCATCCTGACCCTTGACCGCAGCTGACTCTGTACTTACAGATCAATCACTTCCACCAGTAAGGGGTGGTCATGGAACATGGGGGTTCTCTGTGCCAGTGGGGGGGGAAAAATCTCAAAACCTAGGAATCTGCCAGTCCAGACAGGGTAGCAAAGAGTTCAAACCACCTCTGACCTCAGAGGAGGCTGCTGCCCCACTAAGCATACTAAAACAAAGATGTCAACAAAACAAGAAGCCAGGAACTGGGGGTTTTTCTGCATACATAGTGAACATTGATACCCAGAGTTCTGTAAGGCCTTCTATGCCAACTAAACTTTGGGACCCTCAAAAGTGAGAGTGCTCCTTCCTGATTGCATTCCAGGTCCCTCACAATAGAACGCAGTCTAGTATCACTAATGAGCACCTCCACTGACCAGCGTGCACCCCCCCACATAAAGTCTCTACCCCCCGCCAGCAAACTTGTGCTCAGAAATCACAAATCCAGCAGCCCTGGGGCAGCCTTGTGTTCCCAAGCCCAGGGAGAGATCCCAAACCACAGGCAGCAGCAGAATATTAATATCACTATATGGACACCTTTTCATTGTTTAAAACAGAAAAAGCCTGCTGGCAACTGTGGTCTACACAAGGCTCCCAACAATATTATTGCAATTTACATAAAAATATCACCTCTCAGTGCTACTCAAATATCTGAATGCACATGGTCAGGGAAGAGGTAAACTTCTTGAAAAATTATTGCAATAAAGCCTTGTTTGTCCTTTAGACTGTCGGAAGAGCACAGACTGCCAAAGCTGAGACTCTCTCAAGAGACTGCACACCTTACAGAAGAGGCCAGAGTGGAACACGCAATGCTCTCCATTAGCCAGAGCTAGCGGATGTTTGTGTCACTTCCAATCAGCATCTCCACAGCCTGGCATGAGGGCAAGAGGAGGGAACTGACTTAACCCTGTGACCAGGACTAAGAGGAGGGAACTGATCTAATCCTATGACTTAGTTTGAAGAGGAGGGAATGGACTTAATCCTATGATTTAGGACTAAGAGGAGGGAATGGACTTAATCCTATGATTTAGGACTAAGAGGAGGGAATTGACTTAACCCTATGACTAGGACTAAGAGGAGGGAATGAGATCCAAGGGATTGGCCCATCCTCCCTTCCACAAAGTAGTGGGGACTGACCTGAAGACCCACAGTGTTAATTAACATGTTGGGGCAGAACCTTGCTAGTTGTTGGACCTGCTCACCAGACTGGAACACTCCTGTCTCTAGCCTGGAGAGGTGTCCTTGCCTGGGGATCCTTATCAGCCTTCCTTCTGAACCAATTTTGACCTTTGGTTCATAGAGGGGGGTGGAATAACTGGGGGGAGGGGGGAGAGAGGGAGTTGTTCTCTGTACAAGGACTTTTTTTTACAGCTGAACAAAGGACAGACAGAGTGAGAGGTGGTAGTCCCCTGACCACACTTGATCTGTTGACCCAAGAGGTCATACTGGATAAGAGAACATCGAGCAGCATGGTGCTCTGGCCTCCCCATTTACAAGAATTGAATATGGGGGGGCTAGGGTAGATCAAAGGTTCCCTTGGGAAACATGTGCCTGCCAGTGTGCCAGTTGCCCCTAAGATGACAGGGAACTTTGAAAACAAAATGACTATTATGGGTATCCAGTTCTTTTTGCCCCAGGCTAAGCTTCTCCTTACACCCGCATGTTAAAGGTGGTCTTTTTACAGTGGCCTCAGGTCACCAGCCCTGGCTCCAGACAGCCCTTAGGCTCAGGATTTGAGGGTCAGCCTCAACTGCCCATTCTCAAAAGATTCTGCATCTTCTTCCCTTCCACGCCTGGAGACACTGAGGAATATCAGCCTCATTGCTAAAGGGGGCCTTCCTTTCTTTCCTATCACCAATAAGAAAAGTAACAGAGGAACTGGAGAAAGGGCCCAGCTTACTGCATTTCTAGAGGGACTTACTTTTGGTTCCCAGCACCCACATGGGTGGCCCACAACTGCCTATGACTCCAGCTCCAGGGGATGGGATCCAATACGCAATTCCAGTCACCTCGGGCACCTGCTCACACGTGGCAGATACTCCCACAGACACACACATACTCGTGAATAGACATAAAGTAAATCTTGAAACAAAGAAGAACAGTAACCGGCATTTTGTACCACAAAAGGTCTGAGGACTGCCCAGCTTGGGGGTGGCCCACTGCCACATGCCTGTCCTTGCATGGGACAGTAGCCAAGTGAGTTTGTAGTTCATTTTGGAAGTGAGATGTTTTCTAGCAATACCAGGGACATCGTCATCCTGCACTGACTGCTAAAGCTCTGATATAACTAAACACTACTGTATCGTACTTGCTGCCACGCTCTGAACAGTATCACATTTCCATTAAGTCGGTTCATTTCTGAGGGTAGAGTATATTACCTATGGGGTAATAATTTCCAAACCACTCTAAGGAAGTACTTCAGGAATACAGGGGGAAGGATTTTTCCCCCCTGAGGATTACCTGCGGCCCCTGCCGTGAGGTCAATGGCAGCTTGGATGGCAGGATTAGACTTCATGGTGTCCCTGGGTTCTGTGGAAAGCAGTTCTCTAGAGTGTAGGGTGTGCACCACATATCCCTGGGAAGAAGGAAATGTTCAGTTAGCCTCTGCGTTCCCCCATTCTCTAAGCCTGCTAAGTTACTACACCTTAACTTTGGGGAGTGGGAAAATGGGTTCCTAAGGGGACTTAATGTATCAACACAGCCAAGTAATCCACTTCCCCTCCAAGAGCTCACACACTGAACACCTTCCCTCAGTATCACTACTATAGCCCCCACGGCACCCCAATCTGTATGAAAACCTCGAAAACAAACAGCAGAAAAGGAACCAATCACAAACGGCCCAGACCACACCAGACTAGTGTTTCAGAAGTCTATGGTGAAAGTCCAGTCCACCAGGCTGTCGTTATTTCAGACTGCAGCCTGTGCCACTGAGAGCCAGAGCCTAGGCGCCCCATTGAGTCACGTGGCTCCCAAACTGGAGGTCTCCATCTAGACAAGGTGGATTATAGAATGACCAGGCACAGGCAGTCAAAACTGCCACAAGGTCCAGAACAGAGCCCTGACTCTGTTCTTCTCATCATCCCATCACGTTTCAGCAGTAAATGTGTCGATTTACCTAAAGTCTTGTTACAATCCAGATTCTGATTCAACAGGCCTCAAGTATGACCAGAGATTCTCACAGCCCAAACTCCCAGGTAAGGCTGATAATGTGGGACAGCCACACTTTGGTGCAACTTCTGGACTACTGGGTTCGGATTTTACTTGATCAGAATCCCAGGGGTAAGTCTCAGAGAGTCAAGTCGCCAACGTTCTCTACAGCACAACTTGAAATGTTTGTGTCGAAGGCTAGAGTTTCGGGGAAACAAAGCCTTCCTCTACCTTTAGACAAAAAAACCAACTTGCTGAGACGTGGACTTAATGCTAACTAGAAAAAAAAAAATGGAGGACTCCTTAACATACCAGATCAAAATTACCCATTGCTCAAACTATTCTGTATGTTTTCCAAACACAGAATTGATTTACATATAACAGGACAGTTTCATTCCTCATCACACTGAGGAGGTTGGTGTATTAGGCCAAGGTTCTTTCAAATGCCAAAGCCATCCTGAAAGTCAAGAAAATAATGGCAGCAACGAAGAATTTGTTTAAAAAAAAAAAAAAACAACTTTGTCAATGACTATATTCCAAGAACCTTCTTTCTAAAAAAAAAAAAAGTTTCTTTTTAAGTTAGCAACACGGTAGTTACAGAAACACCCAGGGCTACATTTCTGCAGGGAAAATAAAAGACTGACTGCAGGGGTATCATTCAAAGTGGCCTCAGATAAACTTCAATGTATTCATTTCTTTTACTAACTTGGACGGCACAGAAAAAAGTATCTAAGCGCGCAGCTGCGGTGGTGGCGCACGCCTTTAAGCCCAGCACCTTGGGAGGCAGAGCCAGGTGGATCTCTGTGAGTTCCAGTCTAGCCTGGTCTACAGAGCGAGATCCAGGACCGGCACCAAAGCTACACAGAGAAGCCCTGTCTCGAAAAACCAAAAGAGAGAGAGAGAGAGAGAGAGAGAGAGAGAGAGAGAGAGAGAGAGAGAGAGACCGAGACCATGAATTTGAGAGGGGAAGTTACATAGAATGGATTAGAAGTAGAAAAGCGGAGAGAGGAAATGATCTTAATTATAATTTCAAAAACAAATTAACATATATAAAAATGCTTTCCCCGTGCTGGAGATCACACCTACCTTCCTGCATACTAGCCAAGCACTCTACCACTTAACTCTCCTTCTCAGGGATAACTGTCAAATTACAGAAAACAGAAAAGGTACTAACAGATGAACCCAGAGAGTATGCAGAAGAAACTGAGTATGAACTGTGGCTTCACGAGAATGCAGGACTTGCACACACCAGACTGGTCCGCACTGACTTGGGAGCTTGCTGTACCGTTTGGAGTAGAAAACCCGAATCCTTTCAAGCGTCCCACCCTCCTCCTTCAAACTACCCAGGAGTCGCCGAAACCACGCCAGCACTGCTACTGGCTCCGAGAGGAAAATAACTTCTTCGGTGGTCGAACCGGGTGAGGCTGCATTTCGCTAGGGAAGACCTGTCTCCCGCTGCAGCTGGGTGGCAGGAGGCCGCATGCCACCACCATCCAAACCCTTCGGCCGGGCACCGGGGTGCCAACAACTGCTGCAGCTGCGGAGCGCGTCACCCGGCCTGCACGGGATGCCTCCCCGCGCAGCGCGCGCACCCTGCGCGGCACCGCTCGAGGCAGAGCCCGCCCGACCCCCTGCGCCTCC